TCTGGAGTGAGGCCTGCGGAGGAGAGGGGCGCAGAAAAACACACACTCACTAATTAATATGCATCTAGTGGGCCACAAGCCCAAAAATATTACTGCACAGAAGGCAAAAATTCCTGAAAATATTTGAAATTCCTGCAAAAATTTCACAGAGGACGTCTTAAATTTACGGAATCTCTGTGAAGTGTGGGTCAGTTGGGCTGACCTGAGCTCTGGGTCCTTCGTGAGGATGGTGGAACGGATGTAGAGGATGGAGGAGAGTGGCTGGTACATGGTGACCTGGTGAGTGAGTGAGAGAGTGTGTGTTTGGAAAAGATATCGTCTACATTCAGACATCCGTCTTACCGTTCTTGTCCACCAATGTCTTCCACGCAACTTCTTTCTTCGTTGGTTCCACAGCAACTCTCTCTCCTTCCACTTTCACCATCTGTCGTCCCTTTTCTCCCTCTCCCCCTTCCCTCCCCTCTCTCCCTCCCTCCTCTCCCCCTCTCACACTTTCTGCTACCTTTCCCAGCATTGATTCAACCTCCTTATCTCCCTCCTTCCTTTTCTCTTCCTCCTTTGTCTCCCCTCCCCCCTCCCCAACCCCTTCATTTCCTCTCCCATCAGCTATGGCAGACCCTCTGTTGTTTCCAGGCTGTGTCACATCTTTCTTCACCAATTTCCCGACCCTCTTCCGAGCAGTGCTCGAGTGTCTGATGGTTGCTGGACTAATCCCGACTCCGTCTGGGAAATATTCACTTAGCAACGGAGCCAGCAAGCTGAATCTCAGCATCGGCGTGTAGCTGACGGTGTTTATCCACTCCTCCTTCTTTACCATGGCAACGACCTTTGAAACAAACAATTACAGTGAAAAGGATCCCTCTGAGTAAAGGACACCTCTCAACAAAGTTTTCCCCAATATGAATAAGGGACACAAGAACTTTTCAATGTTCCTAAGGTGTCCCTTATTTAGAGACATCATGATTACATCATTGACCACACCCACCCACCTCGTCCTCGGGTCGTGAGCAGTTGCTGCACTTGACGATGTCCTGTTTCACGTGGTGCAGTTCAATGGCAGGAGGCAGTTTCCTCCATTTCCGGCACTCGGGGAGCGTGCATCTCACCCAGACCGGGAGGTACTGGTCGACCAGGAACATCTTGGCCCCTGGAGTGACCCTCTCCCCCGACTCTCTCTCCCACATTGTGCACCAACTGTTGTAGACCAGGTTACCCGGCTTGTTGCTAGAAACACAGGGAATGAACCACTCATTCTGAAAGTGAAACTCATGCTGAATTTTAAGGTGACTTCTAACGTATTCTACAGTAATAGCTAACCCACACACACACACACACACCACACACACACACACACACACACACACACACACACACAACACACACACACACACACACCACACACACTATGTATATACCTTCTGTAGAAATAGTCGAAGCATTCGTTGCAGAAATGCTGGCCTGCACTGAGGTGGTACCAGCGTGCTGTGTGACCGTCACCTGCACACCTGGGAAGAGATCACATGACAATCATGTGACTCACCCCAGATCACGACCTCACTTGTCCGTTGCCCTGACGAAGCAGAACGGGTAGGGGCTGAACTGCTCGCAACCTCTCCTCTCGCATTTCTTTCTCGGTTTTGATTTCTCCGTTGGAGGACCTTCCGAGGGACTCAGGGGCGGGGCTTTCCTCTTGCGTCCTGTTGTGGCTGTTGCCATGGTAAATAATGACAGGGGGAGGGGCCACCAGAAGTGGGGCAACTAGACGTTGTTCTTCGATTCCTCGCTGCAAGTTTCGGACGGCATCAGGAGGCGAGATTATAGAGTGAAAGTCAGAATGGCGAAGTTGAGGATCATTGGACCAGACTGGACTGTGTAGAACTCATTACAGCCGCCATCTTTTGTCCTCACAACAACACACACGTTCAGCAATGTCTCACGTGACCTTGCTGACGACGCGGAGTATATGCGCATGCGCAAGAGTTCAAGCCGTGTCGATCTCCACGTTTTTTCTACTTCCCCAGACTCAGCCATGCTCGACCACCTTTTCCAGCCGCTAGCAGACCTTCTAGGGATACCTCTGGACCAGGTATTTCGCTTTTAGAGAAACGCTCACGTGACTGTTTTGGCACTGCATGCTGCTGTGCAGGCAAGATATGTTCTCCTTATGCTTATCAATGTCCCTGTTGCCATGAGCTACCGGTACTTCCTCCACCCCTCCCGCACCTCACTCGTCACCAGGCACATTGTCTCCACATCTCTCGGCCTCCTCCTCTGCCTCCTCTGTTTCAACTTGTGAGTGGTGTGTGGTGAGGGATGTGCATTGGGGGAAATAGGGAAGGAGGGAGGGGCGGGGTCAAACTACCCCATTTTCATCCCCAGAAAAAACGTTCTGAATTAAGAAATAAATGTTCTATTTTTCTCTCCTAATTATTGCAGGGACGTACTGTTCCTGATCGGGATCGTTGCCAGTAGTTACGCACTCTTGCATCTGTTCCCACCTCAAGTGGTTCAGAAGTAAGTTTCGATATTACCCGCATTTCGTTTAATTAGAGCAAGACTCATCAATAGGTACACAATGGTATGGGTGTTGGGTACACTGTCGATTTGCCACATCTATCGAACTATGACTGACTATGGAGGCTACCATCTTGACTTCTCTGGACCTATGATGATTCTGGCTCAAAAACTTACCATTGTTGGCTTCGCCGTTCATGACGGTTAGTTACAGAAGAGAGAGAGAGGAGAGAGAGAGAGTGAAATAAGTGAGAAGATAGAAAGACCAGTGAATAGGGAAACCTCTGAATAAGGGAAACCTTGGGGACATTACAAGTGTCCTTTATTAGAGGTGTAATAGCACTAATGAATGTATAAGCATGAAGCGGAACACAGGTGTCGCTAAGTTCTCTATCACAGAGAGTCCTTCAGAGGTTACTCTATTGTTTCTCTGCAGGTAAAGGTGGTAACCCACGGCAACTGAGCAAGGATCAAGAAGAGCAGAAACTAACGTGGGGGGGTCGCAATATTGAGCCCCCAACCAAATTACCCAATATTTGCCCCCCTCAGGTCGATTCCCTCTCTCCTGGAGTATTTCAGTTACAATTTCAATTTCCACTCCATTCTGATTGGACCTGGCTACACCATCAGGGAACACCTCGCCTTCATGGACGGCTCGAACCTGACCCCCCTTGACAACCCCAACCAGTTTGCCAGGGTCAGCTAACCCGTTTGACCAGCTATATGGACCCGTTTGACCTGTTTGAATTCTTACCCAGGCCAAGGAACATTCAAAAGAACCATCTACTCTGGTACGTACATGAGAACGTGGCACAGCTTTGGTCTACTATAGCTTGTATGATGACTGAGAGTAAGATCAAAGGAATTCCAGCTAGTCCAAACAACGTACACGCGTAGTGAGCGCTTCCTGCTGAGTTTACGGGTAGTTATACCATAAAGAGGCCATACGATTTCCCCATACTTTAGCTGTATGTCAACTCATTTGCATAAACCACAATGGGTATATGGTAGTTATACGATAGTAGGAAATTGGCAGCGTGGAATGCAATTAGGGGGCTTTTACACTCTGTGTGCTGCTGTTTCTTTACCAGAAGGGAGTGTTTTCAGGCCAGAAACTGCTCTAGTATATACGCGGTCTGAAAACTAGCTAAAAACTGCTTTCCGACGCGTAGGCTCCCGTAGACTGGAACAGTATGTGACTTTCAGCTTTCTTGCTACTACAACAGGCTGCATTCGAGAGCGCTGGGTATAGCAGGAGAGAAAGCGAGCCAGAGCGGCAGCTACAAAACTCGTGTGGAGTCTAGCAGCGAAAAAGTGACGTACCTGTAACGTTGAACTCTCGAAAAAATGACCATGGCTTCTGCACAACCGCCCAGCTTGACCAAACTAAAGCGCTTATTGCAGCTGTCTCTCCGCTCCCGATCGATCGCTAGCTCTCTCGAGGGTACCGGGTGTGCGTTAAAAAGAGGGCATTTTGAAAGCTTTTGCGCAATCTCATTGGTCAGAGCCTTACCGCGGGATGTCATCATACAAACACGTTATACGATGGCTTTGCTTGTGGTTTACTGGTTGTACACTCGTGGCTTCAGTTTTGATAGACCACTCAGGCTACGCCCTCGTGCCCTATCAAAACTGGCCACTCCTGTAAAACCAGTAAACCACGCGCCGCCATCGTATAACCTATACTTATTGCATCATGGGAATTGAAGAACATATTGTATACCAATACATTGTAGCTGCATGAGGTTCCGCCAGCGTGTTGGTCATTTGTTGATCTTACTTCTTCTCTCTCCCTACTGCTGCCTCAGATTCCAGTAGCAAAGAAGTCCCTCTTATCTCTGATCTACATGGCTGCCTATCTCTATCTTGGCAACTACCCTCACCGCACTCTTTTAGGTCTGCTCATTTCAAGGGTGTCCTCATTTCAAAAGTGTCCTTACCTCCATTACCCCGCTTACCATCTTACCTCCTTTAGAGAGGTGTCCTCATTTCAAGGGTTTCCTTATTAGAGAGGTGTCCTCATTTCAAAGGTGTCCTTGTTAGAGAGGTGTCCTCATTTCCTTAGAGAAGGGTGCCACTGCAACCACTGTCTTCGTCCTCAGATGAGTCGTTCAACATGCCCTATCGTCTACTGATGGTCCTAGTGGTAGGAATGAGGCTCAAGTTGGGGTTCCATTTCATCTGGACCCTCTCTGATTGCGTCAACAACGCAGCTGGTCTGGGGTTCAGCGGGTACGACGCCCACGGCAACGCAGTCTGGGACCTAACAACAAACCTCGACTTCCTGAGATTTGAATTTGCGATGAATCCTAGAATTATAGCCAATGAATGGAATATCACGACAGCCAGATGGCTTCGAAGGTAGGTGAGATTGGGCGAGATACGAACATGAGACAAAGATAAGGAAGACAGGAATAAGTGAGGCGAGATACGTACAGGTTAATTCTGTTTTGCAGCTTTGGCAGCTGTCATATAACAATTGCGTCACCTTCCCTTTGTTTCCACACATGCAAACTCTCTCCCACTAAGAGTGTCCTACGACCGTATCACATGGCAACGGGCCCACCTGACATTCCTTCTCTCGGCGTTCTGGCACGGGTTCTACCCCAGTTACTACCTCGGTCTCATCTACCTCGGCTTCCTCAACGAAACTGCCAAGAAAGTTGGTTGATATACCTACAGTGAGGCCCTTGTAATCCAGACACAAATGTGACAGAATAACATGTCTGCATTAGTGAGGTGTCCTTATTTCAGAGGTTGAATTGCATGCAAAAACTGTACTTTGGGAAAAGAAAAGGTGTCCTTATTAGAGAGGTGTCCAAGCATTTCAGCATTTTTGAAGAACTATTCTTGTGAAAAACATGATCCATAATGAAGAGGTGTCCTCATTTCTGGGGTGTCCTAATATGGAGGGTTTCCACTGTACAGGGTTAATTAACCCTCTTTCTCCCCAGATGTGGCGGCTACTTAACCCCTTCTTCACCAGTAATGGCTGGGCCCTGAGGTGGACCTACCACCTCGTAACCTGGTTTCTCTCTCACATCTTCGCCAACTTTGGCTCTTTGGCCGTCCAACTCCACTGGCTCCAGGACGTCTTTATTTACTGGAAGTAGGTGTTTCCATGGTAACATAATAACGATGACGTAATCTCTGAAATTTGCAGGACATTGTATTTCGTTCCCCTCGTGACGTGTGTGATTATCACCGTCTTCTTACCTCCTGGACGAAGTAGTCGCCAATCTTCCAAGGCAGTTGGGGAGGGGAGGAAGGGAGGAGAGGTTGCCACGGGAAACGAAAACCACCCAAAAGAAGCCAAGTCGATGAAACAGGACTAACAATCTGGAAATGCACTATTGTTACAGCAAAGTTGCCCAACTTTAGCTGTCAATTTACAACTATTTCATATTAATTCATGACAAAATGTACAAAATCTGTGATTCATGGAACGGCATGGGCACCACATTACAATTCAGTCTCCTAGCAACAGGCCCCGCCCACTAGACACCCCTGTTCTCGAGGTCTTTGACTCTGTAGATTCGAACGATCCAATGTTCAGTGGTGTAGGCCTCCTCCAAGACATCCAGTTGGAAATCCTTGTTTCCTATCTCAGCATTTCTGACCCTGTCATACCCACTGGGCTTACCTATGGAGGAGTCACATGACCAAACAATGAGATCACATGAACCACCAAAATATCGAGGTTGTTAATGAAGTTTCTTGTCTAGACAATAAAGCCATGATGAAAATCATGTGACTGAAGTATGAGGTCATGTGACAGTGACATGATGCCCACCTTGCTCAGTGTAGACCTCTCCGAAGCGGTAGTAGCACATCTTGTACATGAGGCAGTTGAGGAGGACAGGGGAGCCTTCTTTGTCCACTCTGAACTCTCCTTTGGGAGTGAAATAGTCGGCCTCCTTGATATGGCTGCCCTTCTCTGTGCTTCCCCCTATCCTCACCATCCACAGGAACTTGTTGATGTCTGGGGGGAAGGAGAGAGGGAGGGAAGGAGAGAGGGAGGGAAGGAGGGAGGGAGGTTAAGTTCTACATGAGCAAGCGCATGAGAGAGAGAAAGGAGCACTTGAGCGAGAGAGAGAGAGAAAGGAGAGAGAGGTACCGTCAGAAGCGTATCCGGTGAGGCCTCCAAAGATGACTAGGACATAGTTTACGTCCAACTCCCTCATTATCTCGTAGGCCTTGTCCTCTGGAGATGACATCGCCTGAACACACACACACACACACAAAGTAAAACATGCGCTGCTAGTCAGTTTTCTACATTTCCCGTGTAGCACTACTCAAAGTATGTTTACTGGGATTGTATCCACGGCAACAGTATCTAGTAGACAGTATCCAGGGTAACCCACCTGTCCGACGCGGGAGATATGGGTGTTGTTCCAGGTGTTATTGTCAACGAGAATGGTCCTGTTTGCCATGGCGGTGATCTGGTAGCCATAGTCCCACCAAGACATTACCTTCGCATCTTCAGCCGTGTTCTGTCTCAGCCAGTAATATGCCTGGTGACGAGAGAGATAGGAGAGAGAGAGATATCCCTAATGGAACACAAAGGTAATTATACAGTTGTACATCGGGCGCGAAGAAAATGTAAAAAAATGCACTAACATTAGAGAAAGACGTGATAGGCTGAAATACTGAGAGCCGTAGCTATGGCGTTCAGCGGGCTTATAATGAAAAACATAGATCGCTAAAACCTTTGAGAAAACAGAATGAAAACGTTTCGTATGTGATACTGAAAACAGGTGAAACTTTAAATAGTTGTGTGGCAGTAGCTTTCACGATTATTGAAACCTTGCTAAATGGTCAAGACACCTCAACTCACTTCCCTGAAGTCGTCAAAGATGATTCGAGATCCGTCGTGTTGTGAGGCAGCGAGGACGATGGAGGGAGAAGAGTAGGCCTCACTGGTGACCCAGGTGCAGTGGAACGTGTAGGTCACCAGGAGGAATGTCATTAGCAACACAATGGCCCCGGCAATCTCGCTCTTCACCGGGTAGCTCGGGTCCACCTTCTTGGCCTTCTTTGTCCGAGCTTCGTCAAAGAGGTCGAGATTTCTCATGTAGGTCGACAGGATTGAGGAGACTGCTATGCCAGAGAGGATGCACATGACCGGAGCTAGGACCAACATCAGACGAACCATCACACCCTGGGAGGTGGGTGGAGTTTCAGTGTGAACTCTGACCTCTGTTGGTGTGCGTATGTGTGTGTCTTACGGCAAAGTAGATAGAAGTTACGCCGTAAAGAATGATAAAAATATTCTGGTCTGTCAGCTTTGAGAAGCAGAAATAGAGCCCCACTGCAGGGACAAATTAATGATATCTAGCTGGAGCACAGGGGGGCCGATCTAAAAACCTGCCCCCCGGGGGGGTAATTACCGGGGAACATGAAGACGTGAAGCTGAAGGTCGAAGTAGAACGAGGACCAGGAGGTGGGCTGGTGCTCGCTGACCGAGGCAATGATGGGGATGTTGTTCTTGGCATATGAGGGGTCCAGCAGAGAGTAAAACCTCCCAGTCCAGGGGGAAATTTCTGAGTGGGGGGGTCAAAGTCAAACTAAAATTTGTGTCCCTGGGGTCCTCCTAGTGTTATAGAGGATACTGCCGAGGAGAGTGAGGACGCTGAAGACTGTCACGGAGGTTGCCCCGACGATGATGGCTAGTGTCCTGAACAGGAGGTCAAACTGTTCCTTGGTGAGTTTGGAACGAATGTAGTCGACGAAGGCGTATATCTGACACAGACCAAACACCCCGAACGCCTGAGGGGACGACAGAGAACGAGAGCTGATGGTGGGAAGAGAGCAAAACGAGACTGTACCGTATCTGATAGGGAACGGTAAGCTAAAACAAAATCCTTCACGCTCTAGGGTTTACAAAATTCACGATGGTCAGGTTTCAAGATGAACAATAAGCATGCGTATTGTGTTGATAGTTGATGTTGCACGGTCCCAGGAGCACTGCCACATGGTGTTGGGTTGCTAGGCAGCGCTCAAACAAACCATGGCAACGATGTATGCACTCATTAGACACCTCCCACCAATTAACGTGGTGGCAAGCCGGCTTATGTGCAACTACCCCCGTACTCCGGTACCCCATATTCTAGTACCCCATACTCCAGTACCCCGTACTCCGGTACCCCATACCGCCATGTGTTCACTGGACTGGACAGGCTGGAATCCAACAAACGATATCTGCATCGACAGTATAGTCCCAAGACAGTACACCTGCAACCAACACAACAGAATAAAGGAAAATGTTTTGTAGGGAACACCAAATTTTAGGTCGCCCCCCAATAAAAAAAATTTTAAGAAATGTTTGCCAAATATTTCATCCCTCACTTGCCTAGCGTTTGTACAAAGTTCTATTAGCCATGAGTTCTCCTGGCTAGAGAAAAAATCTGCCCAGAAATTAACGGCTCAGTCCCCATCTTACGGAGCAGTAGGCGACGTAGATGCGATGAGAGAATCGTCCGGTGATCATTAGAGCGAGGATGTGCATCGGGATGAGGTTAATGAGAAACACGTAGCCTCCCCATGACGACACCTGGGGCAAGGAGAGAGAAAGAAATGGCCTCAGGTACTCGACCTCTCATTCCCTGCTCTTGAACGGGTGGGTTCTTATGTAATAGAGCATAATCACATTGCTGAAAGGCGTCTGTGGAACAGAAACTAGGAGAGAGGGAGATAAGGGGAGAGAGGGCAATATCTGTATATAACCACAAGCAAGAAATGAGTGAACAACATGAAGTTTGTGGAGGACGAAAGAGCTACTATCTGTGTGCATGCAGTAGAGACCGCGCGAGAGTAAAAAGAGACGTGTGGAAATGCAAAAAGAGGAGGAGGAGATGGTAGCTGACCATGTAGAAGTAGGCGATGGAGCAGAGAGTGGACCAGAACACTGAGCCAGTCTTAACACTCTTGATCCAAAGGGCATAGGTCAACAACATGCAGAATATGGCGATACCCTCGTTGTCATAGGAACCAGCCACGGACCTGCGGGGAGAGAGAAAACCTTTTGTCTAAGGAGGAAAGAAAGAACGAATTAAAGAAAGAGTAAAAAAAGAAGAGAGAGGAAAGTTAGGAAAAGAGAAGCTGGAAAAAGATGGAGAGAGAGAGGGACCTAGAGATGTAGCCAGGTACAATGGCGATCATGGCGGCAGCTACCAGTCCAGCACTGGCGTCTTTCAGCTCCTTGGTGAGGTGGTAGGTGACCAGAACGGTGAGGGAGGAGAAGAGGGGAGCAAGAAACACACACACGTGGCGGATGTCGATCGTGATGTTCACCAGATGCATCACGTGGTACAGAAAGGCCGATGTCATCATCAAACCTGTAGAACCAGTATTGGAAACAGGTCAAAACATGTTTGACGGGGGACGTACCGGGGTATATGGTTCCTCCGATGATCCTTCCCAGGGGGTACCATGCTCGATCGTCAAACCAGTTATGGAAGCTATAGAAACCCTCTGCTGTCAGGTACTTGGTGGTCCTGAAGTTGAAGTAAGGATCGAACTCGTGAATGACGCTCTCGAATCTCAGGACGGCAAACAGCCGCGTGGAGAAGGCTGCAGAGAGACAGGGGTCGGTTACTGGGCTACAACACGCGGATAACACGAGTGAGTTGAAGGCGCGCAGTCTCACAGAGAATGGCGGCTGTGGAGAGCGCGAGGAGTTTCAGCATCGTCTCCTGCTTCTCGGAGGAGATGCGGTAGATCCCCAGCCGAGCCAGGAACGGCAGCTTTGTCGATATCATCCTTCCCTTCGGCCTTTCTTCACCGCGCACACACTACATGCGGTTCTCTGGCTCACTGCGCATGCTCCGCGGACCTTTGACTCTTCCGCCAAATTCCCGCGAAAATGCGTAAACACCCACGTGGCGGGATCGAGCAAGCAGATGAGACTGGGGGAGAATGAAGCGAAGAGGCGCCGCCGACCAATCTTCCACGCTCTTCACGTTTTTCAAACCGACGAGCTCGCCTGCAGGCGGCCGCGCTGCCGCTGATAGTCCGACACCAAAGAAACGACAGAAGAGCTCGAGTGGCCGCGATGGCGAGCCCCCCCAGACTCCGAGCAGGAAGAGAGCCAATCCAGTGAATGGCTCCGCTGGGTCTGCTTCCACCACGCCCACCTCCAGTGCTGGTTGCAATACACCCACCTCCACTGGTCGTAAAAGACCACACCCACCAGACAGTGACAGTGAAGGAGAAATAGGAGTTCGAAAAGTGAGTATTGCTGATGAGGGGTGAAACCGTTGTCGAGGGGGGTGCAAACCCTTTACCTCACTGCCTTTGAAAATCTGTTTTGTTGATCAGACGCCAGCTGGTCGGCCAAAGAGAGCGGTTGCCATGACATCCAGTGAGAGGCGAAGAGAGAGGGCGAAGGCTCGGAGAAAGTCGGCTGCTCTGGAGTCGGATGATGAAGGTGGGTGTGGTCAGTGGGCGGGACTTTAGAATCCAAAGTCTCTATAATGGGTTTTCTCCACAATGTGTCTGTACATTTCCAACATTGATGTATTCTCTCCGTGGCTGTATGGGTTTCTCCACAATTGTACATAATGATCCACAATTGTGTGATGTGTATATATGTGACCGTGCACGCAAAAACCAACCTTACGCCGCATTTTTGTGAAGTAGCGTTTTTTGTATCGTTGTAAAGCTTGAAATGTGCTTGATACACCGCTTATTTTTGTATATTTTTGAAAAACCCTTCAAAAGTTAAGATTTTTCAAACGCGGGCCACGCGGGGTTATACAAAACGCGAAATAGTGGAATGAAATTTTTCCGTATTCTTGTCCGCGCACGAATATGACGTCATGTTACGGGATTTTTCCCGGGAAATTTTTAGCAACCAGAGAGATGCGGTGTGAGCGAGCAGTTTGACAGCAGACGAACGCTTCTATCTGCCCTACCGGGCTGAATAGACTTCAGGCCGAACCTGTCGTGGCAGATCTTGGTGTAAGTGAGGTATCGCTTGACTTCTTTGCGTCAGCTGCATGTACGTCGTGCTGTCACTCATGTTAGACAGGTCGTTCAATCGTTGTTTACCGTGAAAACTCCGGCCCGTGTGTGCTATGGATGCTGGTTCTAGGTTCTAAACTAGACAGTTAACGGGCCAGCTTAGCCAGCTGCCGGCTCCCGTCTGTCTTGAGCCGTGCACACTAGGCTGTCGATTTTTAAAGGCGGCAGCTTAGATGATCTACTCAGCAAACCACTCCAAGTTCTTCAGGAACCTTTGTGCCCGTGTGCGGAGTAAAGGAAAGGAAAGGACTGGTAGTCGCTGCATCTTTGTTGCCTAGTTTCGGGGGGGAAAGGGTGTGTACAAGATTTCCGTACACCCCCGCCGTGAGCGTCCGTGTCCGCTGCTCCGTTCACTGACTACCGCTACAGAGAAATAGCTTCTTTTCTGGCGAGAAGGCGTCCTAGGAGGCAGGAAAGGTACCAGTAGGTAGCTCTGATGGGAAGCTTTACTTATAGGCAAAAAAGTGGCTTTGCTTATACCGGTTGGTGTAGGCGTTATATTCACGTGTACTCGAAAATTTAACATTGCGGCGTAAGGTTGGTTTTTGCGTGCACGGTCACATATGTCTACAATTTTTCTGCACACAACTGTTAGAAGAGGAGTATAGTCCAGAGAAAGATGGAGAGGAGGAAGTGGACAGTGATGAGGGGGAGAGTGAGGGTGTTGTCACTCCAGCCAAGACAAAGGTCAGTTTGTGTTGCGTGACTGGACCTTGCTTTCTCTGCTCTCTTCATTCGTCTGTTTTAGTCTATTAGTCTGCAAATCCCTGTGCAAAAGTATATCGATTTTTCATTAATTTACGTTTGCTAAAGTGTGAAATCCCGTAGACACTGAAACCAGCTACCACTCCGAGAACCCCTTCCTCTCGGAAGTCCTCTGTTGTCAAGGATACGAGCAGCACCCCCCCCCCCTCCCCCTCCCCTCACCCTGTCACCCCTCACGTGGGATCCTATACCCACGACAAGTTGGATTGGCTTCGACCTGACAACATAAGGTAACACTATTTTTAGCAACAGATGGCACGACGTCATCTTTATGTCATCAGGGATAAATCAGGAAAGAGAGCCAGTGATCCTGACTACAATTCTAGAACACTATGGGTGAGGGTTTGAACGGTTCTGCATTTGTTGTACGCACATGAGTAAACGAAACGACAAACCAACAATGCCTAACACTTTGACTATTGTTGGAGGTTGGAATAGCGATACTATCTAGCTGTACCTAAACACTTATTTTTCTTGCAATTTCCTTCTTTACCACCCCTTCCGACAAGGGTTTGAACAGTTTTGCATTTGTTGTACGCACATGAGTAAACGAAACGACAAACCAACAATGCCTAACAGTTTGACTATAGTTGGAGGTTGGAATAGCAGTACTATCTAGCTGTACCTAAACACTTATTTTTCTTGCAATTTCCTTCTTTACCACCCCTTCCGACAAGGGTTTGAACAGTTTCGCATTTGTTGTACGCACATGAGTAAACGAAACGACAAACCAACAATGCCTAACAGTTTGACTATAGTTGGAGGTTGGAATAGCGATACTATCTAGCTGTACCTAAACACTTATTTTCTTGCAATTTCCTTCTTTACCACCCCTTCAACAAGGGTTTGAACAGTTTTGCATTTGTTGTACGCACATGAGTAAACGAAACGACAAACCAACAATGCCTAACAGTTTGACTATTGTTGGAGGTTGGAATAGCGATACTATCTAGCTGTACCTAAACACTTATTTTTCTTGCAATTTCCTTCTTTACCACCCTTCCGACAAGGGTTTGAACAGTTTTGCATTTGTTGTACGCACATGAGTAAACGAAACGACAAACCAACAATGCCTACCAGTTTGACTATAGTTGGAGGTTGGAATAGCAGTACTATCTAGCTGTACCTAAACACTTATTTTTCTTGCAATTTCCTTCTTTACCACCCCTTCCGACAAGTATTTGAACAGTTTTGCATTTGTTGTACGCACATGAGTAAACGAAACGACAAATCAACCGTTGGAATAGTGATACTATCTTGCTATACCTAAACACTATTTATGTCTTGCCATTTCCGTCATTATCACTCCGACCAAGGTTTGAACAGTTTTGCATTTGTGTACGCACATGAGTGGTAACGAGACGACAAACAACACATGCCTTAACAGTTTGACTATGTTGGAGGTTGGACATAAGTGATACGATCTGCTGTACCTAACACTTATTTTTTCTGCATTTCCTTCATTATCACCCCTTCGACAAGGGTTTGTTGAACAGTTTTGCATGTGTGTGTACGCACACGAAGGGGTAAACGAAACGACAACTCACCGGTTTGGTTGGAATAGTGATACTATCTTGCGTTGTACCTAAACACTTATTTTTCTTGCAATTTCCTTCATTATCACCCCTTCCGACAAGGGTTTGAACAGTTTTGCATTTGTTGTACGCACACGAGTAAACAAAACGACAAACCAACCATGCCTAATATGTCAACTATAGTTGGAGGGTGGAATAGACCACTATCTCGCAGTGGCTGACCCTATCTGGCTTCCTTCTTGCTATTCTCTCTCTCTCTATCAGGTTCCACAGGATTTCCTAAAGAGACAGTCGCCAGCGATCAGGCAGTGGTGGAAGATGAAATCAGGCAACTATGATGTCATCCTCATGTTCAAGGTGACCTTGTGACATTCCAATCATCATCACGTGATCTCCGATGACGTCATTCATAAAGGTCGGGAAGTTCTATGAGCTCTACCACATGGATGCTGTGATAGGCGTGCAAGAGTTAGGACTGGCTTTCATGAGGGGAGATTTCGCACATTCTGGCTTTCCGGAAATCGCGTTTGGCAGATACTCAGAGTCTCTTGTGCAGAAAGGATACAAGTGAGTGGGCGGTGACCTTGATTTTTGGTGATGTAATTATGATGTAATAGAGTTGGTCGAGTTGAGCAGACTGAGACACCTCAAATGATGGATGCACGGTGCAAGCAAAGTGAGTCTGGTTTCGGAGGTCAAAGGTGAAATTTAGACCCCGCCTATTGACAGTGGCCACGCCCACCAGACACGACAAGGTGGTGAGGAGGGAAATATGCAGCATTGTTACCAAGGGAACAAGGACACCCAGCTTCTCTGAGGGGGTGGAGTCAGAGAGTGATTCTGCATTCCTATTGGCTATCAAGGAAAAGGTGACCACACCCCCTCGTTAACAGACCACGCCTCTTTAGCCACACCCACTAATCAGGCCGGAGACACGGCAAATGAGTCCATATATGGAGTATGTTTCATCGACACCTCCATTGGCCAATTCCACGTGAGCTGGACCATTGCTATTGCTGTAAAACCAGTTCCAGAAACCTGTTTTTCCAGCTGGGCCAGTTCGATGACGACCGACAATCCTCTCGACTGAGGACACTGCTCGCTCACTATCCTCCGGCCCACGTGGGGAACCCCTGACCTGATTGACTGGTTTGACCGGTTTCCCCTCCCTGCAGCTGCTGTATGAGAGACATAATCTGAGTCCTCGGACAATGCAGATCCTGAAGAGAATGTTGGGATGTTGTCTCCAAGACGCCCTCTCTCCCAGTGAGTCATGTGACCTCAGCTGAGAGTCATGTGACGTCACCTGACAGTCATGTGATCATTCAACAGATGTGGAGTTCTGGGGCTCCAGTCGTACTCTCAAGACATTGGCCGAGGGGGAGTACTTCTCCAGTGATCAAGAGGTTAAATTTTCTTAACTAACCCTTAGTTTTTTTGTTGCATTTCTATATTATAGCGATGTTAGGGATTTTCTTCGTTTCGGTCAACTCTAGCTTACATTTCACTGCACTATTAAATGTATATACAAGCCTTTAGGTCTGAGTTTCCTCCAAGGCTTGTTTGCACTGCGCTCTCCAGCTATAGTTATTCAGGATGGTTGGTTAGTCTTTCCCCCAACTTGCTTGCTAAAAGTACGAAAGGTTTAGGCCACCCTATTACTTCCACTGCACTCTCCAGCTATAGTCAAGGTATTCAGGATGGTTGGTTGGCCTGTCCTTCCCTCCATGTTCTTGGTAAAACTTTAGACCATTATCCACCACTTTTTTCTTCTGTAGTTTGAATGGCCTCATGTTCTTAAAGAGATGCTGGCAGAAGGTGAGAAGATCATGTGACGTTCCTCTGGGATCACATGATGTCACATGATCCAGGCGACAGTCTTGGGTTGACGGCGAAAGAAGACAGTGATCTTGCCGTCAGTTCCCTCGGGGCATGTGTTCACTGTCTCACGAGATGCCTGATTGAGAGGAACATCCTCTCAATGAAGAGCTTTACGGTCAGTGGGTGTGGTCGGTGGGTGTGGCTTACGATGGGTGTGGCTTGGCTTTATCTCTGCAGCGGTATGAACCGGTGGATGTGAGTGGAGGGAGAAAGGAGAAAGAGGGAGGACCTCATTTTACCACCTCACAGAGAATGGTAACTGTGAAGGAAGGAGAGAGAGAGAACTTATGATTATTAGTGGGTGTGGCAGGTGTTGGATGACATCACCCTTAGCAACCTGGATGTTGTTGATCACCCGGGGCAACAGGACAGCTCTCTACTGCAGAGACTAGACCACTGCTCCACCCCCTTTGGTAATACACACTCCCATCTTGTTAAACAGGCGTACCACCCTTCTTTGTAGGCGACATTGTACGAATAGGGCAGGCAAGATTATGAGAGACTGGAATAGGAAAAGCGAGATAGGAATAGAGGCAGCAAAATAAGGCAAGATAGGAATAGGGGCAAAAAGTAATAGGGGCAGATTATTGATGTTTTAAGGGAACAGCGAAGACAATTTCCTGACCTGCCTCCATGTGACTCTTCAGGGAGGAGACTCCTGAAGCAGTGGCTGTGTGCTCCGCTCTGCAGCCCTCGGGCCATTCACGACCGCCTCGACTCTGTGCAAACCCTCATGGGCCACGCCCACCTCGTTGGAGAGGCTCACGAGAAGATGAAGTCACTACCGGATCTCGAACGACTTCTGCGACAGTAAGCCACACCCACTCATCATCACCTGACCTCACGTGTCTCATTCTCGTTCCAGGATCCACGGCGTGGGAATGAGACGACCAAACTCCACCCACCCAGACTCCCGAGCGATCATGTTTGAGGAGGCCACGTACAGCAAACGAAAGATAATCGGATTTCTGTCAGTTTTGGAGGGATTCAAAACGTCTGCAGAGCTGTCGTCACTCTTTGCGGCTGTGGCTGGGAAGAGTAAGTCTTCTCTGCTGAAGAGAGTGGTTTGTCGAGAGAGAGAGGGTGGGAAGTTTCCAGATCTAACCGAGCAGCTGCAGTTCTTCTCGGCGGCTTTCGACCACACCAAGGCCCGGAAGGAAGGAACCATTATTCCTGCAAGAGGTCAGTTAATACGACAACTATGACGAAAGGCGTAGGCCGTTCCTTCCTAAACCACTAGCTCTTCAGATTGACTGTCTTACCTCTCACAAAACGTTAGAAAACCCCTATTTTCAATGTGTGACAAAGTGCCTTCTCAACTGGAACGTACTCTAGGAGTGAATCCGGCCTACGACGCTGCAGTGGAGACCATCCACAAGACTGCCACATGTCTGGAGGAATACCTCGCGAAACAGAAGAAAGTGTTGGCATGTCCCTCACTGGTCTACTGGGGCACGGGCAGGAACCGGTTCCAGCTGGAGGTACCGGAATCAACCCCTGCTTCCCGCATTCCTCGCGACTACGAACTGAAGTCTCAGAAGAAGGGATGTCGGAGGTTCGTTAAGTGGGCGTGGCTTGTTTCCTAGGTGATATGTAATATTGCTGTAGGGTAGACTAGCAACATACTGTACTGCTTGTGTAGCTCCTCCCCCTATGTAAAGTGGGTGTGGCTTGTATTGACAATAGGTATTGGACGAAGGAGACTAAGCGGTGTTTGGAGGTTACCATGGCAGCAGAAGAAGATAAACAAATGGCTCTGAAGGACACAATGAGGACGATATTCCACTCTTTTGCCCAACAGTAGGTCATGTGACCTTGCCAGTGGATCACATGATGTCATGTGATCTCAAATTCAGTTTCAGTCTTTGGGAGAGTGCAGTCCAGTGCCTAGCAACCCTGGATGTCCTCATGAGCCTCACAACATACAGGTCAGTAAAATTTTGGAATTGCCTGAATTTTTGTCTCAAAATTGTTTAGTTCTTTGGGAGATGGTGAAATGTGCAGACCTGAGATTGTGTCCAGTCCGGTACCGTTCCTGGACGTGATGAACAGCCGCCATCCGTGCATCTCACTCACATGTGGCGGAGACGACTTTATTCCCAATGACGTCATCATTAACGGCGGGCGGAGTCCGGAGGGGAGTTTGGTCGTCGTGGTGACGGGGCCCAATATGGGAGGCAAGTCGACTCTGATGAGACAGACAGGACTCCTTGTCATTCTTGCTCAGCTGGTATGTGGAGTCTCTCTCTCTCTCTCCCTCTCTCTCTCTCTCTCTTTCTCTCTCTCTACTCTTCCTTACTATGAGAGAGAGTATGGATGTATAAGGATCTGCCTCTCTCTGTCAGGGTTGCTATGTGCCAGCCAGCAGTTGTGCTCTCAGTCCAGTTGATAGAGTCTTCACCAGGATTGGAGCGTCTGACAAAATCACATCTGGTGAGAATACAGTATGGACTTGTACTATGGGAGTAGCCTGGAGAAGGAGATATGGAACATTGCCACTGAATGTGGAACACCTTGGGTACATCGAAAGGTTACACTGTGTGTGTGTGTGTGTTGTGTTCAGGTGAGAGCACGTTCTTTGTGGAGCTGTCAGAAACGGCCACCATTCTACACCACGCCACTTCCCACTCCCTCGTCCTCGTCGATGAGCTAGGTCACCAACTTACACACAATGTATGAACGAACCTTAAAAATATAATATCTACCTGTATATTTTTCTGGGTACAAGTTTTGATTTGCTGTCAGCGAAACATTCACAAAAACACTATCCTTTTTAGTAGAATTGATGTCTTGGGAAACTTTTCACCTTTGCCCCTCTCTATTATTAGGAAGAGGGACTGCCACATATGACGGTACTGCCATCGCCAGTGCCGTACTGAGAGAGCTGTCAGTGGGCGTGGCCTGTCGGACCCTCTTCTCCACCCACTATCACAACCTCGTCGACGATCTCCATGGCAACCTCAAAATCTCCCTCGGACACATGGTATTATACGTATTTAGACTTACAGTAATCATCAACTAATTAATTGAGCATGCTTCTGTCATAAAAATATTTTGGTGCAAAAAACTCTGAAATTGGTAGCTTGCATTATAATCATACTGTATTATATGTGCAGGCATGTATGGTAGAGAAAGAAGAGGAGGAGGAGGGAGAAGGAGAGGATGGTGTCCAGGAAGACTCAGTTACATTCCTCTATAAGTTCATGGAGGGGGCGTGTCCTAAGAGCTACGGCTTCAATGCTGCCAAACTGGCTGGACTGCCTCCTGATGTGAGGGTTGTTAGGACGTGTGTTACGCGAGTGTCTTACACTGGGATTTGTGCTATTTATAGACCGTATATATAATAGAATTACCTGGAGATGTACAGTATAGTATCATAATGCACTCTACTGGTGGTGTGATTTCTCTCTCTCTCTCTTGTTCAGGTGATTAGAGCGGCCAGACGCAAGGCAAGGGAGTTTGAGAAATCCACAGAGAGACGACGACTCTTTAGGTACACCATGCTTTCTACACCAATCGCAAATTTATAGGAAAGCTGGAAAGTATTTTTTGCTTTGTGTGCCATGCTTGCATATTTTAGCATATTTTACAAGAGTATGTGTTGCTTGCTAGTGATTTGCAAAAATCTTACTTATGCTGTCTTGTGTTGTGTCAGGAAACTGGTTGGCCTGGCCCCTGACTTCCCTCTAGACCAGCTGCTCGCCATACAGACAAGACTGAAGCAGCTACATATCTAGAACATTCTCTGATTGACTCCGTGAATCATTTCAAGTATAATTATACATGATTGTAACCGGAAAAGCTAGTTACCCCCGCCCGCTATTGTTTACGCATGCGCATAATGTGAATCTAGTAAAAATGCCTGCGGACACCCGGACCGCAGCGGTGTGCCGAAGGGGGGGTTTGCTTCGCTTCTTCGCTCTATTTTGCTCCTGCTACGTGCTGGGGGTGCTGTTCCTGCACTACAGCGCCAGTACAGCCGGCGGGAAAAGCGAGGTAACACGTAGACGTGTGCATGAAATCACAGTCAAACACCAGTTTCCGCAGGGCGCGGGTCTAGACGCGGCCGAAGAAGCGAGCGAGGGCAAAGACAGTGTCCAGAGACCGTCGAGAGTCCTGGTATACTGCAAGACAGGGCTGCACATGACTCCATGCGGCCTCTTCCACCGCGTCTCCTCCATCAATACTCCGAATTCCAGTTCATCATAAACTACACCTCACAATCTCATTTTTTATCATCTCACAGACACAAAATTTCAGTGGCTGCTGGCTATTCAAAATAATCTCTGAAAGTGGTGCAAAATTGCAGGTGCAGATTTTTGGAGTATAATAATGATGTCATAGTTTTGGTGTCCCTGATGAGGTCAAAGTCCATCTTGACTCCCCGGCAACAGTGTGTCTCTCTGTGTTAACAGTATTACATATCATGTATGATTTTTTCGATCGACTTTCAGCAAAGAACTCACTTATTCTCATTTCTTCCTCTAGTTTCTGGAGGTGATTGGAGATGTTGCCCTGTGCCCCGGGCACCAGGTCCGAGTGGAGGTCAGGGTACAGATTGGCTACCAACTGAGCCACTGAGCAGGGCTCGTGTGAACGTGACAACTGTGCTAATACCTTGGCAACGAAATGGAGAGAGGAAAGTGACTAATTTGGCCTGACTCCACCACGGGGTTTTCAGAAAGTGAAGAAGCCACAGTACAGTGAGGTGTTTATTACAAACACAATCCCAAACCATTAGAGAGATAGTGAGCATGGAGATGGAGAGAGAAGTAGTATATAGAATCTGTGCCGACTGTGTTCGTTGCTTGCCTGGCTCTCTCTCTGCTCTCTGTGGTTGAGGTACTGCTGTATTCTGTGGCTGGCATCAGTCACCACTGGACCGTGCCCGGGGTAGAGGAGAGAGGGAGAGAGGGACTGCAGCCTTTTCAGTGACCTCATGTACGCCGCCAGAGACTCAAAACTCTGAGCAGCAGAAACACTCATTACGGGACCTCTTCTTTTGGGTTACAAATTTCACAATTTTTGAAGATATCGTATGTCTTATTATTATGAGAAACCCCTGAACAAGGGTTACCATGGGTACATTGAAAGTGTTTTTCACTGAGAGATGTCTCTTTTGTTTGGAGAATAAACTGAGTCCTTTTCCATCATGCAAAATGAAAGACTTACAGCACTTCCTTGGCCTAGTACACAGTCACCACTGAATATCGCATTCTCCTCTTCTAGCAGCAGACACATGTGGTCGGGGGTGTGGCCTGGGGTTGCTATGACAACCAGAGTTGCACCCTCAACCAAGATGCGGGCGCCGTCCTGGAGGTGGGTGTGGTCTTCGGGGAGAACTTCTAGAAGTTTCTCTAGAAACGGATTCACTTCTTTCCCCCACACTCGGTCATTGTAGGCAGTGGGAGAGAGAGGAAGTTTGGACACCTTTATATGCCCACCTACTGCATCTGAGGAGATCACACATTAGAAATTCTCTTAGATTTGCAGGTTGTCGCAAAGTGGTAAAATTTTGGACGGGAAGAAGGATCCAAAATTTTGAAGACGACTTGTTCAAAACCTTTTAATACAAGTTTAAAGTTTTCTTCTAAGTTTTTCTCCTTCAGTTGTTGGAGTGTTCGGTAGACATGTTCTCACTGACCTGCCATCATGGCCCTAACAGCGGGGATTCCCCCTGTGTGATCCAGGTGCCAGTGGGTCACCAGGATCTCCGACACGACGCTCTTGGCCTGCTGGAGAGCGGACCGAAGCAGCTCCAGATAGTCCGCTCGCTCGGGCTCCCCTGCATCTATCAATATTCTCCTGCAAAAAAAATAGACTAACATAAAGAATCACACATCATCATACTGCATGCAATGGGCAAAACCTGTACTTAGTGAACGGACTAGAATACCCATACATTGTAGTGGTGTGTCGGCTTCTTCAACGAACCCCGCCTCTTTTTGTAAGTCTGGATGATTGTTCCAATCATCGCTAGTTCTCACCGTTTCCCCGTCCCCACGAGGTACGTGTTGGTTCCTTGGAGAGTGTACTTGCCGGGGTTGAGGCCCAGGACTCGCATCACTCGCGGGGAGAGCTGCTCCACTCGAGGGAGGACCGCCAGAACTGGATTGGTAAGAGAAGAAGCCATGGCTAGCAGCGCACGCGCGTATCCGGACTCTTCCGTATAACACCACTCCACCGATTTATGTGCGCGTAAATAAAAAAATGGCGGGCGGAGACAGGAGAGAGACGGACTTCATGAACAGGAGTCTGGACGAGATAGCGGCGGAGATGGACTCGTCTCTGTACGACAGGGAGGAGAGGGACGGCCACCACAGACCCCAGCACCGCTACTCCCCGTACCCCGCGGATCACGTGCCGAGTTGGCGCGCCGAGAAGGAAGGCGGGAACGGGAGTGGCGCGGCCTCGGGAAGCGGTGGAGACGGGAACAGAGTGTTTGTCGCCAACCTCAACTACACCGTCACCTGGCAACAAGTCAAGGACCTGCTAAAAACAGGTGGGTGGGCGTCAATTAGAGTAGTAGTCCGGTTCTACGTCTATGCTCACGTGCAGCTGGACCAGTGATGAAGTGTGACTTGTTCAAGAATGCAGACGGAAGTTCACGAGTAAGTTCCAATGGCTCCTTAATTATCATGTATTAAAAAATCTTTTCTCTTCCATACGCAGGGAATGGGGTATGTTGCACTGCATTTGCACACATTTATTGTCTTTTGAAATGTCTAACTACTTTTGCTGTTGCTTTTTCTGGCACTAGTGACTATGGTTTCTCAGCTAATTTGTTCATTGTCGCGTGAGATTGGCTGCATCGACTCGACTTGCTGTTTGTTTGTGTACTTGTTTGTTTGTTTGTGGTGTGGAGAAGGCTGGTGCTGTTTGCCGACCAAGAAGGTGCCGACAGGGCAGTTCGAGAACTGAACGGAACAGAGTTGGACGGTCGCAAGATTTTTCTGAGAAAGGTTTGGTTTCCCTTTGTTGAGGATCTTACATTCGGACCTCTCTCCCTTCTCCTAGTTTCTTTTCCAGTGTTTTTCCTATTCATATGGGAATGTTTGGAAGCTGTAGAGTGTATTGGTTGATGCAAGCGGTTGTGTTTGTGTGAGGCTGTTGTGTTTTTTGCTAGCGTTGGTCGTTTTTTTCCTTTCTTGGGTTCGCTGCAAACTACCGGAAAAAGGATTTTCGATTTTCGACTGAGGAAGCATTTTCTCTCTCTCTCTCTCGTGTTGTGTGTGTTGTGTTAGGATATGAGAGTTGAGGACAGGGAGAAAGCAGGTATTGCTCCGTCTAATCCCAAGCTGCGACCTCCGCCCAACCCCTCTGCCACTGTATTTGTGGCCAACGTGAGTGGAGAGAAACGAACTCTTTAGTTTACTTCTCATATTTCTCTCTCTGTGCTGCAGCTGGATTATTCTCTTACCTGGCAAAAACTGAGAGACATTTTTAGGGTGGCTGGTAAGACAGACGTCTTTCTCTCATTGCATCATTCTTCCTCCCTCCTCACCATCGCTTTTGACGTTGCTACGTAATTTTAATCACATACATGAAAACCAAACAGCTCACGCTTTTACATTTGGCCCATAATGTGTTTTTTGTCCATGGTTTGAGCTTACGAAGTTGCTGCTATAATATCTGCGAGACATTTCGTAATCTCTCATTTTCTGTGGCTGACTGCAGGTAAAATAGTCCACGTCGACATGTTAGCTGATCCCGACGGACGTCCCAAGGGCTGTGCCAGTGTCCAGTTCGAGACTACCAATGATGCCGTGAATGCTATTGGTATCCTCCATGTCACATGACCCCTGGCTAGTAGTCACATGATTTTCACATGATCTCCTTAACTCGGCTGCAGTATTGTTCCACGGGCAGCTGCTTCAGAACCGGCCGATGGTAGTACGAATGGTACGGAGCCATCTTTTCTCTCTCTCTCATATCTCGTTGCGCACCAACACAAACAAACACAGGAACACAGTAACTGCACCAGCCAGAGTGCTCCACACACACACTGTATATACCTTGACTCCAGTGTTGTGGGTTGAGTCATACCCGAACCAGCCTTTGAAAAATTTTACTTGGTGTAATGGTGCTGCTTGCCTTGCAACCTCACAACTTTTTACATGGAAAACTAATATTTTTATGCTAAACGAAGACCTGTGCTACTTCCTTGAGTTATGACATTGTCTCTCTGTCTTCCTCTCTCTGTCTTCCTCTCTCTGTCTTCCTCTCTCTGACTGTTGGTGGTTCTATCCCCGTGGTGGTGCAGGACTCCAAATCTCACATCCAACCAGACCCAATACAGTTGAAGCTACATGCAGGGAAGGGAGGGGGAGGGGCTGGGATATTGTCAAGTCACCCCACCTCTGCCACTGTGCCACCTCTCATGGGAGGGGGCGGGGCTCCTGCTGGGATGGCTGGGAGCATACCTCTCTCTCCTTCCTTCAGTACGTACCTCTCTTACTTCTTCTTCTTGTCAACTCGTTCTTTACCTGCTTGTGATTGCTTGCATTTACACTATGTTGAGCAAATAATCATATGTACAATGCGCTGTTTGACCATTTTGAGGCCACATTTTTTGCAGAGATGTCAAAATTTTAGCCACCAATAATGCTCCGTATTAGAGTTCACTCCATAATTTTACTGGTTTTGTATCTACCCCTGTCAGCCCAGTCCCTAGGCTCCTCCCCCCTCTCTCCCTCGTCACTGACCAGCCAGTTGCCTATCCTGGCAGCTCTCGGGCTCAGCGCTCTCTCCAACCTCCGCCACTTCTCCTCCGACCAACTGGCACTGCTCGGCATCAACCCTGGCCACCTCGGAGGAGGAGGAGGTTGGAAAATGGTGGGGAACGGGAGAGGAAGCTCTGGGTTTCACGGCCACAGAGGTGAGCTGGTAGCACACGTTCACCTGTACCTTCTGACACCTAGTATTGCACACACGTACATATAGTGGAGGTTTGGAAGTTTGTTTTATCCTGATTCCACGTAATATGCTATTTTATGTCCGTCTCTCATGAATTGAAGTTGAATAATGTTACATCAATTGTCATGTCAGGTACGGGAAGTCTTCCTCCTGTTCCAGAGCACGGACAAGAAGGTCTCCTGAGTCAGTTTCCATTCGAGTGAGCCTCACATCAGTTTGTTTTTCATGTCTCAAGCATTTCAGCCTGCGAGCAGTTCATATACTTAATCCCTTGCCCCCAGTCCACCGGGAGGATTGTTCGAGAGAGAGAGGAGTCTGCCTCCACTTGGCTCATCGCTGGGACTCCGCCCACCTCCCCAAAACTCCTCCCACTACAGTGCTACCATGGCAACAGACCTCTCCCTGGCGACGGCGCTGGCGGCTCCGCCCCACCCGTCTTCCCTCCTCTACTCCAGACATGATCCCTTGGGCGACGGAATCGGTGGCAGGAAGGGGAAAAAACTTTTCGTGAGAAATGTAAAATTTTTAACATCGCCCTGTAAATTTTTTCGTGCATGCCCATGGAATTTTAAACTTTTTTGCAGCTAAATTTTGGGACGACTTGGCAGAAACTAAAGGACTACATGAAGGCTGGTGAGTGTGTGTGTTGTCATGTGATTTGTCACGTGACATCATGTGATCTTCTGCAGCTGGTGCTATAAACTACGTTGATGTGTTGAAGAATGAGGACGGTCGGTCGAGAGGCTGTGCAGCCGTGGTATTTGAGAGTGAGAACGACGCAGAGAGAGCCATCAGTGAGTCACCGTGAACATCTGGAAACAAAATAATAAAGAAGACGCTTCATTTTGCCATTTTATTCTACTTCCAACCGCAATACTAACATTAACACACCTCCCCTGTTTTTTTGTTGTTTTTCATTTTTCCAGGATTGTTTGATCAATCCGAGTTGGACGGAAGAAGAATTTCAGTCACATTCGATAGATCAAACTAACACATAAGATACACCTTTTGCATGATATAATAATTATACTCTTTTTATAAGAATTGGTGTTCATTCTTGTTTAGATTTTGCACCACCGCCAATGACCTTCTTACGTTGACTGATCATGTGTCCATACAACTGTGGAAACACTGCAATATAGAGAGAGGGGGAGAGATGGGAGATTAGTGGGACGAGGGAGAAAGAGAGAGAGAAAGGGGGAAGGGGTTTAGCTTTGGCCAGTGGCACAAGACTGGCTGCCAGAATGTATTTATAGCACTGTCTACACACAAAGAATCGTGCAAAATGAACCATTAGGTGGCTTGCTTTGCTTGTTAATAATTCACTATTTTGTTAAACGACCCTTAGAAGGTCCGGGGCAGTTGTAAAGCACACGTCCTATATTATCGAAGTGAGAGAGATGAAAAGCACTAAAGTGCAAATCCTCGGCACACTATATAGAAATGTGAAACCCATACACAAGTGTGGCACCACCACAATTGATGGTCTTGACCATAGAACAGCATGTTATGCACTATTTCCATGGATAGGTTGAAAAAATGGCCAGCCCCATTTCTGTTTGAGGCCCAAAAAATATATAAGGTTGAAAAATTGCAACCATTCATCTCTCTATTAATTTTCGTATTACCTGTGGATTGTTTAGTGCAAAAAAAATTTTAAAAAAACGCCCAGCCCTTCATCTCTCCAGACAGACGTCTGGACCACCTGACATTTTAGTGCGGGATCGAGGATTCGAACCGGGCACCTATGGTGTCAGTCCCCACGACTCTAACCACCTAGCCACTCTGGCTGGCCATACCAACACTCCTATTACATCATTGTAAAAAAGCGTACACACACCCGGGATCGAACCAGGGACCTCACGATCAAGAGAGGGGGTGCTTATCCGTCAGACCACCTCCCCCCCATTACTTGAATGGCAACAGTGTAAATGGAGTGCAAACCCTCGGCGCACTGTGTGACGCGCACGCGTAAGTAAACGCATGCGCAGTACCACTAATTGATGGGCTGGGTTTAGTTCTAGCGTGGTCTCTTGCCAGCTCGCGCAGAGTCTGACGCGGGCTAACTACACTATTAGATAGCATGCGAGAGGCGATACACGCCCTGCGTTGCATCTTCTGGTGCCTCCGAAGTACGCAGAGCACGCGGATCGATCCGACTGTGGTAAGCCATCCCCCGTCCGTTGTGTATTTGCATATTGGATTTTTCGCGGTCTAGCTTTGCAACGGAGCAGTTTCAGAAAAAACCGTTCGAAATTTCTGACCTTCATTGCCCGTTAAGTAGGTCGTATACTTTGTGAGACGAACAAACACCCGAGAAGTGAGATTGAGAGTAACAGACACAGACAAACCCAATGCAACTACAGTTAACCCTCACTGCGCATGCGCGCCGAGGGTTAAAAGGGTGCTCACAAGGGATGTAAAGGGCCATGAAGAACATGAGAAAGTAGTAGAAACTGAAGGACAGGTTGTAAGGATTGGGGAGTGAGGTGCTCCACTGGTGACTGGCTTTCAGAACTGGCAGGGCGGCAAACGACAGCATTAGCTCTCCCTGCAGTGGGCGGAGTCTCGTGAGGTCATGTGACTGTCACATGACTTACCGTGACTCCTGTTGGATACAGGATGTAGAATGTTGTGTACCTGTTAAAGATATACAGTGGAACCCCTTTAATCACGACACCAATGGGACAGAAGACATATTACTGAGTGAATTGCATGCAAGAACTGTTCTTGTGTAAAGAAAAGGCTGGTGTCCTTAATAGAGAAGGGTTCCGCGATTCGCAACAAATGCAAGCACAGGAGTAAAGATGATAACCTGAGCCATTTTATGGGGTAGGGTATAGCATCGATGAGAGCAAAGAAGTAAAATGAGTATCGAATGACTTCAGTGGCGCTCCAGGCAATTGCAACTAGCAGTAGCCCTGGACTGTATGCTGTCTGAGAGGGTGAAGATGGAGCAAGAATGGAGAAAGGGGTAAAGAGGAAGGAGAATGGAGTGGGTGTTCACTTACTCCTGCCACGCCTTCCACTATACCCCACAACATGAAGATCCGTGAGAACACCTGTGAGTTCAAATTACAAGCTTACTAGAATATATACCATAATTAGGAGTACAAGATTATTAGAATATCAGAGTTCAGGATTACCAGAACAGCCAAATTAGATGGTGCGAGATTACTAGAGTATCCAAAGGTATACTGAGATCTGAATCACCTGAATGAATGTGGTGAACAGAGCAGACCTCACTATCCCCACGGCAACATGAACAACCTGCAAACAAATAAACATTCCTGAAAACAAGCCAGCTAACGAGAAGTATATACCTCCAGACAAGCTGCAGTCTGGAAAACTCGCAGTGGGAGCCTCAGGTCGTCATAGAGACCAGGCACTGATGTCGGAATTCCATCACTCCTCCAGGAGGGGGCGTGGTCAATGGAATAGAGGACGGTTCGATACAATACCACGAACCACCTAGAGGAATTATGACGTCATACATTATACAGTAAACTTAGCAAGATGTCAACATACCCCGCAGTCAGTAGGCCGTTGTAGAGCAACAGATAGGCCTTTGCTACCGGAGGCGGACCACTTTTCTTGCTCTCATTCTCCTTTTCTCGCTGGCCCGATGTTTCTGCTTTCTCCGCCATCTTGCACAGAATTGTGACGTGCGTGTGGGAAACCAGCCCCGCCCCCTTACCATTGCAATGCTTGACCTTCGAACTCAGTACTTAGGTATTATACTGTATGGTATGGAGGTGGAGGTAGTGAGGTTCCAGCGGCCGTCAGAAAGCGGGAAAACTCTCTACATCCGTGGCATTCCCAGCTGTCTCTCCAGAGAAGAGAAATGGGTAACTCACTGATCATATGCATCCACTCCCGGACACACGGCTAGCTGCATTCATTCCTCAAACTTCTGGCAGGACCACTTGGCAATAATGTAGCATAAACTGTGCTGTAGCACGCATGGAGATGCACGGAAGACAGGTGATTATTCACACAGTGTCGTGTGCTCATTTCACTGCAGGGTTTTCTGCACTCAGAGTTTTCCCGACACGGTCTCGTGTACGACGTCAGTCTCCCTCTGAGCCCCTTTAATCAAGACCCAATCACCAGCGATGCCGCTGCAGGAGAAGTGGCTCCTGATGAGGGTCCAGTGGCAGAGACAGAGTATGGCTTTGTGACCTTTTACTCGCGGCACGACACCAAGACTGCTCTGCAGGCAGTCCTGAAATCTCCAATTAGTATCAGCAGTCACAGACTCAAAGTTTGTCACTCTTTCGATAACCTCCACTTTATTTCTCCCTCCTTTGCTTGCTCGCTGTACAGTGGAATGCGGAACAGAAGAAAGTGTCCATATTAGTGAGGTGTTCTTATTAGGTGTCCATATTAGTGAGGTGTCCTGATTTCAAGAGTTGCAAGAAATTTTCTTAGGGAAAGAAAAGGTGTCCTTATTAGAGATGCGTCCTCATTTCAAGGGTGTCCTTAGAGAAGGGTCTGATGTGATTGTTTTGTCGCCAGGTGGAGGTGGCTAGACCTAGAAGCAAGCCACACCCCTCGACCACACCCACCCTCTTCCTCGGCAAATGTCTGGAGCTATGTAATCACTTCATTGGCTTCAGTGGGTGGAGCCTCCACATCGTTTCCATGGAGAATATGGAAGAACAGAGTAAGTATATACACCCAACTGATTGTAGCAAAAATGGTAGATAAGTTAGGAGATTCGCACGATTTTAGGATACATTTTATATTTGAACTGTTGCTGCTATGTGTTAACAATGATTGCAAGGCCCCCTTCATATTGAGATGTATTGCAGGAGAGGAGGGAGGGAGAGTGTGGGTGGGAGTTCGGTGCTGTGTGGGGGTGAGTTTGAGGGGGTGTGGAGAGAGGGAAAGTCGGGGAGTGGAGGAGTGGAGAGGAGACGAGGGGGAGGAGGTGAGGGAGAAATTAAAGACGAGGGGAACGGCGAGAAAGATTGCTTTCAGACGGGCGTGTGAGGACGCATTCTCTAACATTCTCATCATACTGGTTCCCGGGAGACCACCTGTACCCATGGTAACCTGACCAATATATATACAATAGTGCAGTTCATTCCCCATCAGTATTTCACCTCTCCCCTCTACCCATTGTGTCAACAATTTTGGATTATTGTACATATCTTGCTTCCATTTTTCGCTGTTCCTTCGTCCCCCCCTCGCTCTTCTCTCTCCTCAGATTGTCAGCCGACCAGAAGATCACATGAAACATTTGATGGGACAGTTTGATAATACCTGCCCTCCTGTTACCGTGTTACCATGCCAACCAGACGATTCCAGCATCATGCAAGAGTGTCCATGGTAACCATTTTATTATAATAATTATTGTGCTCATTATAACATCATCATGATCATGACATTCACAATAAAATTCATCGAGGGAGGGAGGGAATGGAGATGGATGAAATAATTAATAATGTGTTTGATATGAAGTTACTGTGAAGAGTCAGCAGAGCAATTATTGCTGTGGGTGTGGTCAGTCTGGTTGCCTAGCGACTCCAGATGGTCCCTAACAACAACTTTCCCTGGTAGAATATCGTGTAGAAACTCAGTTTTCTTTTCTTTACGGACGGCCGTGGAGAGGTGGCAATAGTGAACATCGCGTTCTGCTGCTGACACGGCAACCATGTGGGCGTCCCTGGCTAATTGGGCAATAAACAGCTCAGTTGCCTTGGCGACGAGTACCACGGAGTCCTGGCTGATGCTGTTGGTGGTACTGGATGTGTGTACGTCAGTTCTCATTATGGTGCGGACTCTAGACACGGGGAGCATGCGTTGAAAGAGACCAGGAGATTCTGAACTGCCAGAGGGGGCATGTGGGGAGGTGGAATGGGAGGAATGAAGAACGGACGTATGGAGTTTGGCAGTGGGTGGAGATTTGTTGGGCGACTTGCTATTGTTTAGTTTGACAATTTTACCTCCTTTTACCCTGCCCCCTCCCCCTCCATCTACCTTGGTCGAAGTGCTTCGAGCTCTACCACTGCTGGGAACTAGAGCTGCCTGCCCCATTGCTTGGTTGGCGGCGTGAGTCAGCAACGTCGGAGAGAGAGAGGCCCCGAAACTCGAGCTGGAAGCAGAGGAGGCCGTGCCCGCAACACTCGGACGATCAGGGAGACGAAATTTGGTAGGAACAGCGGTGATTGTCACGTGAGATGTCGATGACGTCGTCGCCCGCTGCTGCTGAGAGGAGGTCGTGGAGTTTGTTTGAGAAAGAGAGACCGCCGCTCCGGGTTGCTTTTTGACTGGGGAGATCTTGGCCACGTGAGTCGCGCGAGGGTCTCGGATCAGTAGGAGCTTCAGTTTCCCGCCCGAGTCTTGCCGAACCACGTAGTTTGGGGGTTGGGACATTCTTTACGCTTCGCTGGGCTTGTCCGAGAGGCGTCTCGCCCAGAAAAAGTACGAAGGAGCTAGTAAACAAAACAGCCTTTCTCTGTCTTGCTTTCGCGCGCGTTTATTCCGAGGGAAAGGGGTTAATTTGCGGAACTCAGTGCGCATGTGTGTAGGTTTGGCACATGCACTGCACGTTCAGCAGAAACGACATTTTGCATTGACACTAAATCTAAGATCCGGGACACACGGCTAACGATGTCGACATCAACGAAAAGAGACAAAAATAAAGAGGTATAATGACGCATCAACCGTAACGACAGCAAATAATGACTTATTTTCTTTCTCTCCTTGCGTAGCTGCCAATCTATGACCCGGAGGGGCTGGAACCCGAGGCCAACCCAACGTTCGAGGAGGTGCAAGTACCTCTTCAAGAGCACGTGACGAACACACGGCGAGCAGTCCAGCAAACACTATCCTCAGTTCAGGTGGGCCTTTATTGGAGATACCGGCGGACAATCCATCTCTACTATTGCGTTTCTTTCTTGCAGGAGGCTTGGGTTAGAGTTACAGAAGACACCAGAAAGAGTCTGACTAGTGTGGCTGGAAAGACAAGAAGACAGACAAATGGTATTTCAGCTTCTCAATGCCTCTTTGTATCTTTTCATGTCTCCCACCCCCCCCCTCTCTCTCTCTCTCTCTCTCTCTCACAGCCACCCTGTCCTCACTAGGACTGGGAGAGTCAACACAGCAGGTACTGCGAGGCTCGGCGTATGCTGGAGCTGCTCTGACTGGCCTATTTCTTGCCAGGAAAAGTAAGCATCTTTACATTTTGGCTAGCTAATGTGGGGTTCAAAACAAGAGAGTCTTGTTTTGCTGTCCGGGTTCTAAAGTTGGCCACCCATTACCTCCTAGGATTCATTGAAATAGCTGCGAGGGAGTGTTTTGAAATCCGTATAATAATGAAAAACATGATCGTTAACCACAACCATAGCTAAAATGAAAAAATATTCACATTTGTCAACTTTTAAAATGTTTTGCAGGATCGTTGTTTATAAAGATGATTTACCCACTGTTGGGGGTGGGGCTAGTGGGCGGAGCCATCCATAGACAGGAGCTATATGCCCGCTACAGGGATGCAATAGAAGGTGGCGATAGTGGTGGTCTCCGTGGTAATTGGTCGTCGTGGGAACCGTGGAAGGGGGGTGACAGGGAATTAAAGTTCAGATGGCGGAAGACCAGCGGGGCAGAGGAGGGAGAGAAGGAGAAATAAGTGTCGCTAACTGTTGCCAGGGGAGATGCAGTAGTTTGTAACTGTGTATTATTCAGTCTTCAGTATTTATCACGGTAGCAAATAGTTTTATTTCTGTCACTGCTTTATGGTGTTAATAATTGTTCAAAGTAGCAGTGGACCCCCCATCTCACTACAAACTTCAGGCTCCGACTCTTTCTCACTCTGAACTTTCGTTTCCCTTTATCTCACTCCAAATGGCATTGAGAAACAAAACATAAAACGATGTCATTCTGTCATGAAAATTGATTGGAATGAGTGGGTGTGGTCAGTGGGTGTGGCTATCTGAGAGCAGCTGACACGTTCTCATACACGACAAAAGTGATGGACACTGCAGGCACTACTTTAGCCAAGTTGGCCGTGATTCCCTTATAGAACCCTCTCACACCTTCATGTCTGCAGAGGAAGATATTATACTGATAACTATAAGTATGGGCGCATTAAGGATTAAGACAAGTGTTCTTCTGCTTCTTACTATATATGGCATGAATGAGGGCATGATTTCAAAGACGTTTATTTAGTATTCAGACACAACCAATAATAATAGTGAGGACCAACACTTGTCTTCATAGGGAATGGGAAGGGTTAAATGAAAATGTTGCGGAGATCCAGAGGATGCTATATACGGTAAAGAGTTAAAATAAACATTCTGGTTGCCAAGGAATACCTGTATGTTCTCCAAATGGTGTCCCTGAGTCCAGAGTATCGCTGCTCCTGGTCCTGAAGCCGTGCCCGGATCACCTGGTATGGGTATGTGGCCGTCACTGCCACCACCTTACTGCTGGCTGCCATGGCGATGTAGTGAAGTGGGCTCTATTTGGAACAGGTCATGTGACACGGTAGACAGGTCACATGGCAGTAGGCTGACCAGTTGAGTTGAGAGAGGAAGGTTGTAGTGGTGGCAGTAAAACTTCTTTAACTCTTCGTAGACCATGAACTGTATTGCCCCATGTGACGTGCCAATCAAACCAGGGACATACCCCTACAAATGGGACGGTAAGTAGCTCATTAACATTAGCAACATTCAAGGTCTTAAGACATGACTTGGCAACACTACAGGCAAACAGTTGCTTGGGCTTCTGTATAATGTGCATACTTCACAGGTTTGTGCCATGATTTAGTTAATATTTCGTGTGCTCTTGAAAGACTTCTCAATCTCATTTAGTGTTTTGCCACAGAAAAGATATCACCAATTGAGAGAAAGTAAAGTGGGTGTGGACTAACTGTGTACATTCCTCGCAGTCCCTCGTGTCTCCAGAGGTTCGCCAGGCCGTCCCGGAGTCCTCTGTACCTCATGTGACGAGGGAGAGAGGGAGACGAGACCAGGCACATTCTTGTCTTCACGACCCATATTGGGTTGGTCACTGTCAGAGTCAGCGCTCCTACACATGAGAGAGATATATACGTAACAACAGAGCTAAAATATTTACAAGGCGGCAAAAAATTTTGCCATTTTTCACAGATAAACCTAAGAAATGATCCACCATGTTGGTGTTGTCGAATACCAAAATGTTGTGGTCCTTAAGGTTACACCAGAGAAAAGAAAGTGGAAGTATCATGACTGTGAAGACCTGCGAAGACTGCACACATGAGATGGTGCAGGGCAGAGAGAGAGACGTCTATGTCTCCTTCTTGTAGCGAAAACTTCATCGCATTATAGCTGAGGGGAAAGAGACCGCTGATTTCCAGCTCTGATTGCAGGGGGCACCCACTCACAAGAAGAAGTAAAGCCCCCACGATGCTCCGCTGCCTGCTACATTAGCACTAGCTCCCTGTGTCAAGAACATATTACCTATGAATGAGGGACTCCTCTGAATGTCCCATAAACCCACACAGATGCCCCATACTCTGATGTCCCATGCATTCTGAGGTAGTTAGATAGCTACTTACTCTGTACAATTGTCTCACTCCTTCTTCTCTGAGAATGGAACGGAAGGCGTGGATGGGACCTCTATAACTTGTCCGCTCTCCCGTACCTTTCCCGTCCTGAACTGCACAATTCCGGACATCAACAGTGTCCGGAAATTTAGGGTATGTACATACCGGCCAGGCGCAGCTTGATCAGGTCGAAAGGGTGCGTCAGTAGAGTCGCGGTAACTCCGCCAGCGACTCCAGCCACCAGGTGACGGTATCGCAGCTGCGACAAGAACGACAGAGAGCCAAAGACCTCCGCTTCTTTTGCCATGCTTTTCGACCACGCCTCCACCGTTACGTAATGTAAAATCACGACGACCTTTGAACCCGGTTGCAAAATGGCAGCAAACGGCGAACTGCAAAAGAAAGGAGAAGCTGTTCAGTTTTCTTACGAATTCTGCTCCAACGGGACACGGTACTGCCTCACCGTCCCAGTGCGCGGGCTCCTGGGTCCCTCGAGAGCTCGCGAGTTAGCCTCGAGACTCGTGCGAGCGCACAATCTTCCGTGTTACTTGGAAGAAGAGCTGTGCTCGCAGCTCGAGGAGTTTGCGAGGGACGCGGCTCTGAGACGATGGGACCTCGAGGGAGACAAAGCCGTCAAACTCGCAGGAGACTCAGTTGCTGAAGAAGTGGGTTCGGAGGTCATTTTGATTGTAATTATGTAATGGTTACATCACCTATAGGGGTCAAAGGTGGCCAAGAGAATTCAAAATCTTGCCGAACAGTACACAAACAACTGTGCAGAGTTCTCGGTTGCCACGGTAACCCATGATGAGGGTCCGTCGTTCTCGGACATGTATCACTCCCTTATCCACTCCCCCGCCCTCGGTACCCTGCTCCAATTGGAGCACACCTATGCCTTGGCGATGGACAATTCCCTCCAGGCGTGGAGGAACGCTCGCGAGAACATGGCTAAGAGGTTAGGGTGTCCTGATACTCAGTGTCCTAAACGTAGCGTTGTCCTGAACCGGGTGTTGTCCTGATGTTGTAGACATGAGAAGGAGTTGAGGGATAAGATGGCAGCAGTCAGTTCATTGCAGGCGACAGAGGCAGAGCTGGGGGCAGTAATGAGGGACCACGACAGAGACAGAACTGTTCTCGAGGTGCAGTGGAGGGGAGAGCTGGCCACGCTGAGGGAGACACAGAGACGCACTTACCACCAGTGGATCGAGGGAGCCTACACGGAAATGACGTCATCGGGTGGGCGTGGACATTCCTGAATCACACACCGGGAGTTTTTAGTTTTATGATGAGAATGTTTTTTGTCGACAGGTTCAGCTAATAGTTCTCAATTTCTCCAGAGCAAAAGGTACTTTAACCCGCATATTCTCGTTTCACAACTCCATATTAGGTGGTATAATAGTCTTTGAAGTGTGAATAAGCTCCACTCGTTAACTCTGTACTACTGTATGTGTGGGTGTGGTGGTGTGTGTGTGAATGTGTCGCAGAGTGGGAGGAGGTGAGGATGGTGAGGTGTTCTCTGAGATGGGGAGTGAGGAGGGAGACGAGGCCACGCCCACCTCCGAAGAGAGCTTCACAATACACCTCGGTACTACGTACGTACCTACCCTCCTCCCCCTTTCTCTCTTTCTCTAAAAATGTTCCAAGTTAGACAAGAAACTTCAGTAAAAATGTTCCAAGTTAGACAAAAAACTTCAGTAAAAATGTTCCAAGTTAGACAAGAAACAATGTTCCAAGTTAGACAAACACTATAATATTATTTCTCCCTCCTCTGTTGTCAATGACGATGTCTTGTTGCGTTCTTTGCAGGCGCTCAGTTGAAGAATGCTCACAACCTTCGTCTCCTCTGCGGCCATCCTCTCTCCCTCTGTCGCCAGAGGAGGGCGGGGCAGCAGGGGGGCGGGGCTCTGTCCAACCCGGAGCGGCTCCAGACCGCCATGTCTCTCTATTCCACTAAACTGACGTGTATGATTCTAATGGTTGACGGCTGCCCGACCAATGGTGGGGACATCGAGCAAAGTAAGTCTTAAATATTCATCTCCGAGACTATCATGTTGCCTTTTGGTGCATTTGGGTTACATCTGCAAATAGCTTTCATGAGGACACTTTCTTTTCTCTCCATAAAAATAGCATTCTTGCATGCCCAAAATCTTCTCTCTCGTTAATGTCCCAATTAAAGAGGTTGCACTGTAGTTTTGCCAGAATTTGTAATACCTCGAGACCTTGGCGGGTTCTCTCTCTCTCTCTCACTTTCATCTCTTGTTGTCTCCATATTCTTCTCCTCGATTGCAGAGTTCAGTGAGATATGTCACCAGAGCACAGACTTCCATTTCCACGACTACTCTCAGCAGATCTCGGCCGTCACTGACTGTCTAGCTAGAGTATCACAGAGCCGGGTGTCTGGTGGGCTCCAATTGGAGAGCTCCAGTAGCAGTCAGACCTCAGAGACATCGACTCCACGAGCTGGATCTCCGTTTAACCCCAGTGCTCTCGACAGATGTGGGTTTCCACTTCTTTTTCTCGTTTTACTGAAGTGCCCCCTTATTCAGAGGTGTTCCTTATTTGGAGATAAGAAATCGACAGAACCAAATTATTCGGAGGTGTCTATATACACAGCTCCACACAGAGGGTTGAATGATAGCAGTGACTCCGCCCACTTTCTGTCCCCACCTCCTACAACCACCCTGTCTCTGCCACGCCCACAAGTAGGCGGAGTCCAGGAGTAGGTGTGACTGCCCCGCCCACTGAACATGATCCTCTCTCGGTAGCCATGGAGCCAGGTAATCTTTTCTCTCCTTTTGCATATATATTTTCAAGGCACGCAATTATTATACTGCCACATTCCCCTTTTCTAGAAGAAATTTTTAAAAGCTATCCGAAAGAAAACTATTCCCCCCTCTCTCTCTCTCTCTCTCTGCTTGCAGGAGATTTCTTCATAACTCGCCACTCGAACCTGTCCCAGGTCCACCTGGTTCTCCATCTCTCCACTGACAGAGAGGCCGTCAGAGACCCAGGTCCCGTTCCCATTCCGGTACCGAGTACCGGAGTATGTGTTTGTGGTTGGTTGTACGTGCAGGTCTGCGGGCAAGGCACCCAGTGATGATGGGGTTAAAAAACTGTCTCCACGTTGCCGCTAGAAACGACGTCCATCACATCACTGTTCCTCTTCTCCTAGTGCACAGCATGGAGCCGGTCAGTCAACTGGACAGTATCCTAAAACTGGACGACCCAATTTCGTTTCCTTTTCCACAGGAAATGACCATTCAGTGGTGTCTAAGGAGAGCTGAACTGGTCTTCAAGTGTGTTAAAGGTCTGAAGAAAATAGTTTTGTATTTTGTCCCTCGAAAGTCTCTCACTATAATTATATACTCACATAGAGATCAGTATGCTACATGTCCACACATTGAATGCTGTTGAACTTGTATCTGTCTGTACAGGGTTTCTGTTGGAGAATCCTCTCTGGGGGAACGGCGATTCGAGGACCATTCAGTTTCTGATTCCGCAGGTCTGCCCCTATTGATTCTCTGGAAAAACTAACGTTGAGTTTGTTTGTGTGCAGAGTGTGTCTCACGACTTGTTTGAGGAAATTTGTGACATGGTTCCCAAGATTTTCAGAGTCTCTTCTGCAAGAAAACTGACTTCGAAGCCTAGGACACACAGCTATAAGTAGTTTTGTCTGCAAAATTGTACTGATCGTTAATTAAGAACAGTGCGGTATACGGTATGTGGTTAATTCACGTGACATGCAGCGCGCGCACGCGGCGCGCGGAAATAGTATAAAAGTGACGTAACGAGCACGTTGTGTCGTCTCTCCTCTTTTTCAAAAGAAAGTAGGTCGCCAGTTGCAGCGCGGGAGGAAGACGACAGCGTTTCGTCGCTCGGTAGTAGTTGTAGGCCGCATTTAGCCACCAAAAAAAAGAAGAAAACTCCAAAAAAAGCGTAAAACGTCAAAAGACCAAAAAGAAGTAACGACAACACCTCTACACCTACCGAACAACACCGACCAACACCGACCAACCGCTCGCCGTCTTCTTCGAATTCATCGCACCTTTCAACTAGCAACTTACCCAAGGAAAACCAGTCAAGATGACAATGCTGATGCCGTCAGGAGGGGCCAACTACCCCATCGCCTCTCTCTACGTGGGAGACCTTCATTCGGACGTGAACGAGGCCATGCTGTTCGAGAAATTCAACCAGGCCGGACGAGTTCTGTCCATTCGCGTCTGCCGAGACGTTATCACTCGTCGCTCGCTGGGGTATGCCTACGTCAACTTCGAGAAACCAGCCTACGGTAAGAAACCGCTTCCCTCTTCTCTCTTGTGGCTTTTGAAACGTCTTCAGTTGTTTACGCAACGTTTGGGTTGACCGTCTTGTGTTCCTGCTACGTTTTTGTGATTCTGTCCCTGTTTGCCCTACGCCTAAACCCCTCTCTTTCTTCTCCTTCTCAACCCTGCGTCTTGCCTTCACTATGTCATGACCGCTGTCTTTTCCCCTCCCTCCTCTCTCCCCCCCCCCACACACACACACACATACAGCTGAGAGGGCCCTGGACACCATGAACTTTGACAGTCTGAAGGGTCGTCCGATGAGAATCATGTGGTCCCAGCGAGACCCCGCCCTACGTCGCTCGGGCGTCGGAAACATCTTCATCAAGAACTTGGACAAGGGGATCGACAACAAGGCCTTGTACGACACATTCAGCGCCTTTGGCAACATCCTTTCATGCAAAGTAAGTTATTCACACAATTTTGTACGTATGTCTCCCACCCACTCCCTATATAGTCCTTTAACCCTCCCTTTTCTCCTTTAACCCTTTTACTTTGTCCTTTTAACCCTTCTCACTCTGTTGAATCATCACTGACATTAACCCTGTGATTTCATCCTGTCGTACTCTCAATGGTCCGATATTAACTCTCTGCCGTCTCAGTCACTTTCCTTTCTCAATTTTAACCATCTGCGTTCTCTCTATTTAACCCTCTCAACTCCAGGTGGTCTACGATGGGAACGGGATGTCAAAGGGATACGGTTTCGTTCACTTTGAGACGCAGGAGAGTGCTGACATGGCAATCAAGAAAGTCAATGGAATGTTGCTCAACGACAAGAAAGTGTGAGCAAGCAGTTCCTTGTTTATCCATCCAAATGGGCGGTGAAAAATTGGGTCTAAATCTTTCGTACTTTTAGCGTGCATGTGAGGGTGAAGACTGGCTAACCGCACATCCCGAATACCTTTACTATAACTGTTGTGTGCAGCGTAATGTGTGGAGGGAGCCAAATTTTAGTGAATTTATACAAGTGTATAGGCAGGCATACCCCCGCCACCGCCAATGCTGAACTGACATATCTCAGGAAGTGTTGCCAATGCTGAACTAGCGTGCAGGAAGTGGCAGTCTCAGAAAGTGTTGTGCAATGATTGGGGAAGTGATGTGGTGCTTCCCAATAGTTCCAGTGTAAACATTGCCCGGGAATGTTGCATTACATCACCATATTGGAATGCCCCTCTCTCACTCTCTCCCTTTTCCTCATTTTCCCCTCTCCCTCACACCACACACACACACACTCCCTTTTCGCTCTCTCCCCCCTGCTTCTCTATCTCAGGTTTGTAGGGAAGTTCATTAGTCGGAAGGACAGACTGCGAGATTTTGGACACGACCAGCGGTTCACCAACGTCTACGTCAAGAACTTTGGCGAAGAGTTCGACGACGAGCAGCTGTTTAACATGTTTGGCAAGTTTGGCAAGATTCTGAGTTCAAAGGTCATGATGGACCTAGGCTCTGGCAGGTGTCTACTTTTTTTATCTCTTCTTCTCCTTTTTTCTCTCCATGTTTTTTTGTCTCTCTACTCGTTGATCTCACAATTTTTTGAGGTCTTCTGATATTTTTTTTTCACCAGGAGTCGCGGGTTTGGGTTTGTGAGTTTTGACAGCCATGAGGCGGCGATGAAGGCGGTCGACGATTTAAACGGCGCCGCGATCAACGGACACGTCATCTACTGCGGCCGGGCCCAAAAGAGAAAGGAGAGACAGGCCGAGCTACAGAGGAGGTTATAGAATTACCCTCTCTGGGGTTTTGTCCACTAGTTTTTTTAGAGAAGGGGGCGAAAATGCAGGCACAAATTGAGAAAAGATTTTGATCCGACTTTCCATTAGTGGCAAAGACAGAGCAGTCACAGAACCTTTACTGACAGGGTAGCTAGTGTTCAGTGAAATAGTATGCCAGCCTTCATATGTGTATATCTCTCCCTCCTATATACTCTCTCTGTCTTTCTCTCTGCTGGGTCGTTAATGTTGTAGGTTTGAAGCGGAGAAGATGGAGCGATACAGCAAGTACCAGGGAGTCAACCTTTACGTCAAGAACCTCGAAGACGAGGTGGACGACGAGAGATTGCGCAAGGAGTTCTCCAAATTTGGAAACATCACGAGTGCAAAGATCATGTCAGACGAGGTGGGCGTGTCAAAGGGGTTTGGTTTCGTCTGTTTCTCGTCTCCGGAGGAAGCCACGAAGGCAGTGACGGAGATGAACGGACGGATAATCGTCTCGAAGCCTCTCTATGTTGCTCTGGCGCAGCGCAAGGAAGAGAGACAGGCTCACCTTGCAAACCTCCGACTGCAGAGAATTGCTCGCACCGGCATGCCTCCTGTAAGTTTAGTAAAGTAATATTATACTTCGTCTTTCCCCATCTCTCGTTTTCATTTTTCTTCTCCCTTGACTGGTTGCTTGTAAAATAATTTATTTTTTCTCTCGCCCATTTTCTCTTTTTTTCCCTCTTCCTCTGCTGTATATAATTTCCCTGTTTCCTCTCTCCTCTCCCACTCCAGAACCAGATCCAGGTGTTCCCTCAGATGTACATTGCCCAACCTCCAGGCCAGCGAGCGTTCTACCCTCACCAGACCTTTGCAGCCACGCGACCGTGGCACCAGAACCAGATGCAGGGGGTCCGGGCTCCATTCTACGGAGGAGGCGGAGGAGGGCCCTCCAGGAACCGGCCGGTCGGGCCGCGAGGTGGCATGAACATGGGGGCACGGATGAACGCACCTCGCATGCCTAACCAGCGACTCAACCAACAGCCAATGGGCGGGCAGGTGAGAGAGAGAGAGAGAGTCAATTTCACTCTAGACTAACCAATTTGGATTTGTAAGCAACGGAAAATAATCGCACAATCTCCACATCCACTGTGCGTGTGTGTGTTTTACATCATCAAAGCTTTGTTGGCAGTATTGGCAGTATTAATCCGTAGTGTTATATACCAGAGCTTCTCTCTTCTCCCCTTCAGAGGGTAAAGTTCACGTCAAGTGCCCGCAACCCCCCTGGCCCGCCACCGCAGACCCAAGTACCACAGACTCAGCCGGATGTTGCCCCCGAGAACCACCCGTCCCAGACCCTCTTAGCCTCTCTCGCCCAGGCCACCACACAGCAACAGAAACAGATCATCGGGGAACACCTCTACCGCGAGATATACTCCATGCATGCTGACCTGGCCGGGAAAATCACAGGTAGAGAGAGAGAGAGAGGGGGCTGGTGCACAAATTTTGTGCATCCCTGAAAATGTTTACACCATATGAAAAAGAAATTTTACTATTACTACTACTTACTGATATATACTGATTTTTACGAGGTTGATATCTCCCCAACTACAGGCATGTTGTTGGAGATGGACAACTCGGAGCTGCTGCACATGCTTGAGGTGCCGGAGAGCCTGAAGAGTAAGGTGGAAGAGGCCGTCACCGTTCTCCGCGATCACCAGACAAAGGAACAAGACGGGCAACAGGTACATAGGTCACATGACGCACCTCCTGGTCACATGATTATCACGTGATTAGCACACTGGGTATGAAACAGCATTTTCATCAACTAGTCACACATCATCTCTCCCACCATGCAGGTCCCGGGAGTAGGTGGTATGCAGGCAACTGTCCCTCTCGCTCCGATAGAGGCTTGAGGAGGCTCATCTGGCACGGAGAATCAGAGGAGCTGAACTAATAGACTATGAGACTGTAGATATAATAGTGTATACTACTACTGTAGCTAAATCTGCCTCAACTGCTGCTTAGGGAGCTAAGATTCCTGTAACGTCTTCCCCCAAAATAATTATAAAAATTAAATTGTCTTTCTGCACGCAGTTAACTCAGACTATATATAACACTAGATGCGAGGGAGCTGACGTTAATCAAAATTATTGTTTAGTGACTTTTTCATTGAAAAAATTTGATGAAATTATGACTGTGCTCAGAAAATTTGATATGTTGGGAAAAGGGTGGTACGGAGAGGGGGAATATGACCCTAAGAAAGCACGTCCAGATTTCGATATTGCTTTCTCAGCATAGACACACTGTCTTTAAATAGAACAGGGTCGAAACGAACGGATGAGTTGGTGAGAGGCATGTAGCCAAAAGCGGTGACCAGCATGTTGAGACAAGGAACCTGCAAACGATCAAATCTCGTGGCTTTTTCTGCGTCGTTGCCGTCAGCAGTCATTTTCTGGTGTAGTTTCAGTCGGTGGGTGGCTTTAATTGGAGGTTTCCGTGTGACGTGTGCGACGTAGAAGTTGAGAATGAGGTTTGTGCAGTCGTGTTCCGTGGACGATATTCTGGAGAGGGTCTGAGGTAATGAGTTAGCCAGAGCATGGCTGTAGTACCTGGGGGAACGTGGAGAATAGAGGAAGGGAGGGAGAGAGGGAGGGAGGGAGCGAAAAAAGAGAGGAAGGAAAAGAAGCAACATCTGGAACGCAGCAGTCACGAAGCTCTTGGCAACAATACTTAGGGTTCAGGTACACACAATGCTAAAAAAATAGTGACACTGCCAGGGTTTTCATCCACATTATGATGTACTAAAGAGGAGAGGGTATATGGATGTACTGACCTGTGGACGAACACTGCATCCGAAAGGATGATGGAATACTCATTCTCAGTATCAGAGCTGTAACTCCATCTCAACAACTCTTCGTCCCAGGAGTGGGCGTGGCCAACGAACCCCACCAGCCTGTCAGGGAACGCCCGTCATACCTCCATCCCAAACTCCGCCTCGTCGACCGTGAGTCCCACGTCCTCCGAGAGATGGAGTACTGCGTCCGTCTCTATTCCAGGCACGGAATGGAACCGAGACAGCGGGTTGATCTGGACCGACGGCCGCGATATGATTGTCACGGTAACGGGGAGGGGAGGGGGGCGTATTTTGGGCGGTCCAGTTCCAGTCCAGATGATTATGATCTATAACGAGAGGATCACGTGTGTATGAATAAAGGGAGTGCCCCTTTATGCAGAGTCAACCACTAAAGTAAACAGAATAAAAGGGCCTCTTACAGAGGCATCCACTATAATACTATGGGGCAGAACTAAGTACTACGTACTAAGAAAACCATGCAGAATCAGAGCTACAATAACATTTTATTCACCTTTGATAAGTGGGGAGCAATGGAGAGTGACCTAATTAGTTTAATTACAGGAGAGCTTGTGTAGTTTGCAGAGTGCAAGGCGTTGCCATGACGATAAAAGGGGTAATCGGAAAGGGAGGGGCTGAAGGAGGGTACAAAGGTCAAGCCCCCGGGGTGCCAGTTCCACACAAACCCACTGGAGGGGCGGAGCCTGTTCCGAATTATCTGAAGCAAATTTTTACATTAAAAACACTTTGGATGTATGCATGTGACTTACTTCGATGGTTGCCATGACGACCTTCTCCACTGAGCTAAAGTAAGTCTCGTAGATCCAGCTGCCCCACAACCTCATGTCCAGCACCTGTATGATGTAATGATTACGTCATTGACGGTGATGTCATTATTAGGTAATTGACAAACCAGTTGCGTTGAGAGGGAGCGTGTAATGTGAGGTACTTGTAGGAAATGTCGCTCGTCAACGACATGGAGTAGCGATGCCAATCAATTACCCTCGTCAAACGGGAGGATGTAACTGTGATTAGGGCGGGAGGGCTAGCGGGGAGGGATAGTAAGGCGCAGATAGCGAAAGAGATCAGTCGAGCGCACCCCAGGAAAACCCACGAAACTGAGATACATGCAGTGGGTGTTGTAGCCATGAACCATGAGAAGAAGCATACAGTGAAGGCAGCTGTTTCCAAGTAGGACGGGAGTAAGTGGGTGCTCAGCTGATTAATTCACTGATGATCCAGAGCCAAAGTGTTCTCAACTAATGTGGCTTCTGATGAAGCCAGCTTGGCTGGGATTATAGGCTCGAGGTTATTTGCATTAGAGCACAACTGGTAACTTCTAAAAGCCTTCTCGCTGACATTCTCTTGCATTCTGCACATTCTATGACATCGTACAAGTATTTTGGTGTGAATAACTTTGTTTTAGCACATGCTTGCCTGTTTCCTCTCTCCTCTCCCACTCCAGAACCAGATCCAGGTGTTCCCACAGATGTACATTGCCCAGCCTCCCGGCCGCCAGCGAGCGTTCTACCCTCACCAGACCTTCGCAGCCACGCGACCATGGCACCAGAACCAGATGCAGGGGGTCCGCGCTCCGTCTCTACGGAGGAGCGGAGGAGGGCCCTCCAGGAACCGGCCGGTCGGGCCGCGAGGTGGCATGAACCTGGGGGCACGGATGAACGCACCGTCGCATGCCTCACCACGACTCAACCACAGCCATGGCGGGCAGGTGAGAGAGAGAGAGAGAGAGAGAGAGAGTCAATTTAGTATATACTCATTGTTTTCACTCTATACTAACCAATTTGGCTTTGTAAGCAACGGAAAATAATCGCACAAACTCCACAAATCCACTGTGCGTGTGCGTGTGTTTTACATCATCAAAGCTCTGTTGGCAGTATTGGCAGTATATAAATATATGTTATGTACTACGTGTACCGGATTTCAATGAACCCGAGAGCCTCCGCGTTTGTAGTGTCCCGAGCGCAGCGAGGGCACTACGCGGAGGGGATGAGGGTTCATTGAAATCCGGTATGTCCCGAGTATACGGAGTACATAACATGTTTAGTGCAGAGCAAATCAGCTCCGTATACGCGCACTGCCGCGTTTCCAAGCACAGGGAAGATGCGAGAAAGAGACGAGAGCGCAAGACCGTCATCTCGTGCGGGACTATTGAACGCCGAACGCTAGGATACGCTGCTCCGCCGCTCTAGCTACTCCCGCTGCGGGGCTGTCCTCCGCCACTCATCCGAAGAAACGCGACAGGAGACCTGCGCGAACCATCGCAATCAGAGAGTCGAGAGTGGAGAATTCAGGCGCTGTGCGGGCTGCTATACCGAAGGCGTTCGCCTTAGTAGCTTTGTCGCGCGCACTCGCTCGCGGTGCCCCACACCCCCTTATTTGCGTGTGGCGCGGTGGTTTGTGGGCGGGCGTGAGCTGCCTGGCTATCTATATGTACATGGCAAGGAAGGAGATGGGCTCAAAGCAGACACAGAAAACTGTCTCGTGGAAAAAGAAAATCAAGATATCAGTTATTTTGATCAACATTTTGTACAGATCATGTTTTGCGGGATACATTTCCTACATGAAATGCTGTTGAACTTGTTGATAATCAACAGAAAAAACAAGGTTTCATATCGTGTTTTCATGTTACTTTTGTTAGCTCACGAGGTTCATATGAGAAATCAGGAATCTCGTACTAACAAATCTGATTGGTCGATTCGAATCAGCTATGCACTAAGATGAAATAATCCGTAGTGTTACCAGAGCTTCTCTCTTCTCCCCTCCAGAAGGTAAAGTTCACGTCAAGTGCCCGCAACCCCCCTGGCCCGCCACCGCAGACCCAAGTACCACAGACTCAGCCGGATGTTGCCCCCGAGAACCACCCGTTCCAGATCCTCCTAGCCTCTCTCGCCCAGGCCACCACGCAGCAACAGAAACAGATCATCGGCGAACACCTCTACCGCGAGATATACTCCATGCATGCTGACCTGGCCGGGAAAATCACAGGTAGAGAGAGAGAGAGAGGGCTGGTGCCACAAATTTTGTGCATCCCTGAAAATTTTTACACCATATGAAAAAAAAATTACTATTACTACTACTTACTGATACTGATTTTTACGAGGTGTATTTCTCCCCAACTACAGGTATGTTGTTGGAGATGGCCAACTCTGAGCTGCTGCACATGCTGGAGGTGCCGGAGAGCCTGAAGAGTAAGGTGGAAGAGGCCGTCACCGTTCTCCGTGATCACCAGATGAAGGAACAAGACGGGACAACAGGTACATAGGTCACATGACGCACCTCCTGGTCACATGATTATCACGTGATTAGCACACTGGGTATGAAACTGCATTTTCATCAACTAGTCACACATCATCTCTCCCACCATGCAGGTCCCGGGAGTAGGTGGTATGCAGGCAACTGTCCCTCTCGCTCCGATAGAGGCTTGAGGAGGCTCATCTGGCACGGAGAATCAGAGGAGCTGAACTAATGGACTATGAGACTGTAGATATAATAGTGTATACTACTACTGTAGCTAAATCTGCCTCAACTGCTGCTTAGGGAGCTAAGATTCCTGTAACGTCTTCCCCCAAAATAATTATAAAAATTAAATTGTCTTTCTGCACGCAGTTAACTCAGACTATATATAACACTAGATGCGAGGGAGCTGACGTTAATCAAAATTATTGTTTAGTGACTTTTTCACTGAAAATATTTGATGAAATTATGACTGTGCTCAGAAAATTTGATATGTGGGAAAAAGGGTGGTACGGAGAGGGGGAATATGACCTAAGAAAGCACGTCCAGATTTCGATATTGCTTTCTCAGCATAGACACACTGTCTTTAAATAGAACAGGGTCGAAACGAACGGATGAGTTGGTGAGAGGCATGTAGCCAAAAGCGGTGACCAGCATGTTGAGACAAGGAACCTGCAAACGATCAAATCTCGTGGCTTTTTCTGCGTCGTTGCCATCAGCAGTCATTTTCTGGTGTAGTTTCAGTCGGTGGGTGGCTTTAATTGGAGGTTTCCGTGTGACGTGTGCGACGTAGAAGTTGAGAATGAGGTTTGTGCAGTCGTGTTCCGTGGACGATATTCTGGAGAGAGTCTGAGGTAATGAGTTAGCCAGAGCATGGCTGTAGTACCTGGGGGAATGTGGAGAAGAGAGGGAGGGAGCGAAAAAAGAGAGGAAGGAAAAGAAGCAACATCTGGAACGCAGCAGTCACGAAGCTCTTGGCAACAATACTTAGGGTGCAGGGTACACACAATGCTAAAAATAGTGACACTGCCAGGGTTTTCATCCACATTATGATGTACTAAAGAGGAGAGGGTATGTATGTACTGACCTGTGAACGAACACTGCATCCGAAAGGATGATGGAATACTCATTCTCAGCATCAGAGCTGTAACTCCATCTCAACAACTCTTCGTCCCAGGAGTGGGCGTGGCCAACGAACCCCACCAGCCTGTCGGGGAACGCCCGCCACACCTCCATCCCAAACTCCGCCTCGTCGACCGTGAGTCCCACGTCCTCCGAGAGATGGAGTACTGCGTCCGTCTCTATTCCAGGCACGGAATGGAACCGAGACAGCGGGTTGATCTGGACCGATGGCCGCGATATGATCGTCACGGTAACGGGGAGGGGAGGGGGGCGTATTTTGGGCGGTCCAGTTCCAGTCCAGATGATTATGATCTATAACGAGAGGATCACTTGTGTATGAATAAAGGGAGTGCCCCTTTATGCAGTCAACCACTAAAGAGTCAACCACTAAAGTAAACAGGGCCTTTTACAGAGGCATCCACTATAATACTATGGGGCAGAACTAAGTACTACGTACTAAGAAAACCATGCAGAATCAGAGCTACTATAACATTTTATTCACCTTTGATAAGTGGGGAGCAGTGGAGAGTGACCTAATTAGTTTAATTACAGGAGAGCTCTCCTTGAGTGCAGCGCTGGAGACAGACATGACGATTGTGTAGTTTGCAGAGTGCAAGGCGTTGCCATGACGATAAAAGGGGTAATCGGAGAGGGAGGGGCTGAAGGAGGGTACAAAGGTCAAGCCCCCGGGGTGCCGGTTCCACACAAACCCACTGGAGGGGTGGAGCCTGTTCCGAATTATCTGAAGAAAATTTTTACATTAAAAACACTTTTGGATGTATGCATGTGACTTACTTCGATGGTTGCCATGACGACCTTATCCACTGAGCTAAAGTAAGTCTCGTAGACCCAACTGCCCCACAACCTCATGTCCAGGACCTGTATGATGTAATGATTACGTCGTTGACGGTGATGTCATCATTAGGTAATTGACAAACCTGTTGCGTTGAGAGGGAGCGTGTAATGTGAGGTACTTGTAGGAAATGTCGCTCGTCAACGACAATGGAGTAGCGATGCCAATCAATTACCTCGTCCAACGGGAGGATGTAACTGTGATTAGGGAGGGAGGGAGGAGAGTGAGGAGAAGAGAGAGAAAGAGAGAAGTATGGAGAGAAAAAGGGAAAAACAGCCGGAAAATGAGATAAAATGAGTGGGTGGTGTAGCCATGGAAACCAATGGAGAAGAAGCCATACAGTGCAGGCAGCTGTGTCCAAGTAGGACAGGGAGTAAGTGGGTGCTCAGCTGATTAATTCACTGATGATCCAGAGCCAAAGTGCTCTCAACTAATGTGGCTTCTGAATGAAGCCAGCTTGGCTGGGATTATGGCTCAGGTAATTTGCATTACAGCACAACTGGTAACATCTAAAAGCCTTCTCGCTGACATTCTCACGAATTCTGCACATTCTATGACACCGTACAAGTATTTTGGTCTTTGTTTTAGCACATGCTTGCCGGGGACTGCGTTCGTGAAACCTTTTCTCACCAAACTTTGCTTTTTTAAACGCAAAGTGTTTAGATTAGTTTATTCCTGTGACGATTGAGGTATAGCACTCACCCGTTGCTAAGGGAGACTGGTATACAGGAGGACTGGAGAGACTCGATGAACCGGAATGACCCGAGACGTCGTCCTCTGGGCACCAGGCAGAAGGAGGAGTTGGTCAGCAGCTCCATGTAGTCGAATCTGGAGGGAAGGGGAGGGAGTGAGTGAGGTCCTACCTCTCTTGCTAGTGTTCTCTAGCTCTACCCACACACACAAAAGTAAGAAATGTCTCTTTCTTCCACTAACATGCCCCTCACTCCAAGCCTCACCTTTTCCCCACAAAAAGAGATATAAACCTTATAGGGGGTCCATTAGCAGCACCACTTCCTCTATTAACATTATCTCACTGGCTTCCACCAGACTTTTGGAACTTACTTTCCAATTTTAGTATTCTTTACTCCATGCTACAGTAGTGCTCCTATCTTATCAACCCTAGCCTTATCAACCCTATTAGTCTTATCAACCCTAGTCTGATTAGTCTTATCAACCCCAGCCCCAGAGAGAGAAGGCAGAGGGCAGAGGGGGGCTGGGCTGGGCCTTGCTGTGTCTGAGATATTGGGCGTTGTCACACATTAAAACACCATTCCTCCAACACTTGGCCTCCAACACTTGGCCTGCAACACCTTCACTCCCACCTACCAGTACATACATACAAACACATATAGCTTCTTACCATGCCCATTGTACATACGATTGTATTGGGTGCCGTAATGTGTAGCTGGAAGGTGATGAGAATTGATTGAAGCAACTTCAAAGTAACTCAGACTGGTGGGAGGGTGTTAATTGCCCATGTTTATGGTGGCATATTAATTAGTTGCTTCAGTAGAAGAATTCGAACTTAACCAAGAGCATGGGAAACACTGGTGACGTACGTAAGATGAATATTCTACAACAAAAGCTCTGAAAAGGACAATCCCATTTCTATGACTTGGTTTCGCCACGCACTAGTGCATTATGCTACTTCTTCCGTGCAATTTAACCCCTGAAATAAGGACACCTTCACTAATATGGTCACTTCAACAGCTCCACTTGACATGTGTATTCTCTAACGTCCTTCTGTTAACAGTCGGTAAAGTAAAGAGTAGTTCCCACGTGAACTAATCGTGTTGTTCCATGTCTTGGAATATATCTCCCATTCCCCTGTCACGTCTCCCAAGACAAGCCACCAAGGAGCAGAGCAAAACAGCTATATAGGGTTGTGTCCTCCATTCCATGGGTGCCGTAAAATATTATTCTGAAAGTCGAAAGAACCGGTGCCTTGCAGAGATGAACAAGGTTGTGAGAAAATCATAGAAACATAAGCAGTGTTGGATAGGAGTTCCACTGCAGCTTGTCCAAAATCAACTCCTCAAAAGACACTCTCAATCCTTCAGTGTACTTACCCTCTGTATAAATGCATTGTCTTAGTATGTGCCTTATATGGATGTTCCATTGTTTATTGCATTCATGTGAACACGTGGATATTAAATTTTTAAGTTGTTATTTTATTCATCTCCATTTTCAAGCGGTGGTTATTTTGGTATCGTTTCTGTACGCACCTGCTACAGGATTTTGTTGTTGTGGTGTGTTAGAATAAACTATTACGGAAAAACTCGGCAGTTTTTGAAGTACATTCGTCACCAGTTATATTCTCAGCACAGTGTCCTATACATACCGCCATAATAGCTTCGCGTCAAGTGAACACCCCATGAAAGAGCCATTGTTAAGACCTCTACAGAACTGAACAAGTAAAGAACTTTAGAGTTACTGTGACCGCTACTATTCAATGGGCGAGTTTTCACGTCAATATTGAGATTAGGAACATCGCAGTTCTTTACGGAGGTTCTCAGAGGGTTTTAAAGGACAATTTGTTAGGAGCCACTTCGCTAAGTGAACCATGGCAACACGTGCATTGTGTTTTTTTGACAGGAAAATTGTTACAGAGAGAGAGAGAGGGACAATTGGTTGGGGTAAAACTCACTAATAAACCATTTATATGAAAATGGGAAATGAATGTATTTCTAGTATTTCCAGGAAATTTGTTAAAGAGGGAGGGAGAGAAGAGTGTAATTTATAGAGTACAATTATAGCTACCTGTATTTGCGCTTATTCCGTTAAATTGTTGGGGAGGAGGGGAGAAAGGGAGGTAAGAAGAAGAGGTCAAACCTGTTATACTCGGCGTTGTCCACGTCACAACGACTGTCCTTGTACTTCTCCCAGTTCTTGTTGTGTCGACAAGTCATCACCATGACAACATCGCGACTGTTGCGAATGTGATAGAGCGAGCGGCGAGGCTCCACCCCCAGGCCATACAAGTACCTCTTCCCCTTGAACGCCAGGTGGTACCTCCGCTTAATTGGCAGGAGGTTCCCCCTGGTAGTCATGACGGAGGGGAAAACCCCTCTCTCGGAGTGAGAGTTGTGCAGGAGAGGAAGAGAGATGTCGAAATTCTGGCGGAAAGATGCCGTGTTGAACGACGCCTTGGCGACAATGGCGAGCCCAGGGTCAAAGTCCAGGGATTCGAAGTAAGTCGGCCATGAGCCGGAGTAGAGGTTGAAGAAGAGGTGGTTCCTTCCTCCGTTCCAGTGGGACAGCAACCATGTGGATGGGAGCTTCATGACGTATTCGTCGCTCAACTTGTCTCTGTCTAACGTGTCCCAGCTCGGTACCAGCACGCACGCCTCGTCCGGATCCGAGGTGTAGTACGGACTGTTTCGGAGAATGCGCAGAATTTTTCTGTAGAGTCCGGACACCTTCACTCCGTCGTTGTCCGGATAAACGTACACGCGAAAGTCTCCGCCGCACCTTCCAGCGTTGAAACAGCGCCCCATAGTGCAGTTAGCAGCTGCGAAATCTCCCGGAAAGTCGTTTGTTTCAGCGGCTTCTGCAGCCCGCGTCGACGCAGGCTCCCTCAGTTTCCAGCCGGCTCCCCGCGTCCCTTGGCCTTCTTCGGGCGGCGCCGCCTGTAAAGACGTCCCTCTTGCGTGTCGCAGAAAGAGAGAGGCGTAGAGGAGACTTGCTTCTGCTCGCTTGGCGGCTTCCACCCCACGTGGCTGCGAAGTAGCGCTGCCGACCCCGAGCCGCCGCCACGGGGCCACGCGCACGACGCAGAAGAGCACGGCACACGCTAGCAGACCTAGCAGGAAGTGACGGCGGAATCTTCTCCGAAACGGTCGCATCTGCCTTTTCTCCGCATCGCCGACTCACCCACAGAGCAAAGCTGACACCTACATAAAGCACAATATCTGGCTAGCTTTTGGTTTGCTGCGCAGAAAAACCCTCGAAATTGATCCATTTCCGGGGCGTGGTCGCACTGATGCGCATAATTTCCTAATTAATTTCAGCGTAATAACCATAGCGGCTCCGCTACGGAATGCAATTTACGTTACTGATTGGTGTGGGCGGGGCTAGCGCCAATGAAAGTTTGAGCACGTACGTACGTATGGAGGTGGGTGAGTATTGCTCTGAGAAGTCATGCAAGAGACTGGGTAAGTAAACACATACTTTGGCCCTTCCAAACTCCACGAATGTTTCTGCTATAATATTGTCAAGATTTCCTGCCATTCACCTGCCAGCACTGCAAAGGGATATTCTGGTAATGTGGGGCAGACAGGCAACAGGGCTGGCTGGGGGGTTGTTTTTGTTGATCTGCTCTTGTCTCTCTGTTTGTTTACCCACAGCAAGGAGCACTTTAACCCCGGCAACCACAACTGCCCAATCGCTAACCTTGGCAGCCAAGTGAGCCAATATCACATCTACCTAAATAGGAAAACAGCAGCAGCTAACTATAGCGTCCCGCCAAATATCCTCGTACCCACTCAACAGGCCATGTGGCATAGTATACCCGATACCTTCTAGTATAACATGATACAAGGCAGTTTGTTACTAGCCACCTCCTATTTGCTGTCTCTACAAATTCATTTTCCGCGTCCCTTGAAAGGACATATGAAGGAGTTCATTGTGGCATGAAAGGTCACAGGGCCATTAGAGGTGGTCAGCCGTCAGGCTCAGTCAATAGGACACGTTACTAATTGGATTAGCTCTTTGGAGTGGAGATATAATTATACCAGCAAACAAAGCTTTTGATGCAGGGTGACGAGGAACAAGGGAAAGTGGGAGGGGCTTGTTCGGCTAGCCACACCCATCTGTGTTCGGTGGAGGGGTGTGGCCGAAGGGAACAAGTGCATGTAAGGTGTCCTCGTTGCACTCTGACCCTGTGTCTGGCGTGAGTCATGTGACGATCACATGACTATTAATATCAGATCCAATTTTTTCTACTAGTCACAGACACCCTGAAGATCATGATTGTACCGCCCTTCCTTCTCGCCCCGCCCATTCCAAGCACCGGGGACTCCGCCTGAAGACTAAAGATCCACCCACCACACCCGGAAGAGGGGGCGGGGCTAAATCCGAATCCCTGGCAGCAAAAGTTGCTCTGATGAGATTGAAGCAGAGGGCTGAAGGAATGCAATCAGTGCCTCAGGTGACATTATGACTAATAATTTCAACTGGCTTTTGATGGAGAGGTGGGTATTGGGCATTATGTGGTGCCTTTGGCCAATTAATGGCTAATTGGGTGTAAGTAAGTGATACCGTCTCCTACAAGGAGATAATTACAAACTGTCGACAGCGTTCTACCAACTACCACACCCCCCCCCCCCTTCTCTCCCCTTCTCCCCTTCTCTCCTTCTCGTCTCACTCGTTTATATTTTACTAGAAGAATGTTGTATCTGCCAAACTTGCAGAAATTTTATGGTATCTCCTCTCTGCTTTTAGAGTGAGCGTGTTTATTATGACGTCACTCTTCCAGCTGGTAGCAGTGTCCAAAGTGCGGTACTTTTCTTCTCAAAGGTCGATACTGGAATGTTTTGACTTCAAGCTAATCACTTTTGACAATGTATATTACTGTGGTATATAGGAGTGGGCAGTTGGAAAGGTGGTTGATAGTGTGTCGAGGAAATTCAAAATCAGCAACCAAAACGACCAACCCACTTGTTTCAAAGTTAGTCCAGGATTTTTATGCTGCACACTCAATACTCTTGCTGCGTTGCAGAGGCTGGTTTTGTACGCAGCGGATGGAACGGTTCTGCTAGCGTCAAGACCTCTCCACACGTACCTAGCTTTAGCCCCTTCGGGCAGCTCCGTGAGACTTGGCTATGATGAATCATGATATCCGAACGCGAAGACAATGCGCATGCTCCGAGCGGGAATATTTAGCGCATGCGCGTAACCCCGCATCCGCACGAGACCACGCCCATGAACAACAAATTCCCTCTTCTACGGCAACAACACAAGTAGGTTTGTCTTTTCTTTCCTTCCCCTTATTCTCCGAGGCCGGAGTCAGTCTAGCGGCGATGGCTAGTAACAGACAAGACGCTGCCCAGCGCGCCGAGCACCAGTCCTCGGCGGCGGATTCCCGTCTGTTTCAGATGAAGGAGCACTGTAACCAATCCTTTTTGGTCATGAACCAGCTTCGCCGGGAAGGCCAGCTCTGCGACATTTCCTTCAGAGTAGGCAACGAGACCCTCTCGGCTCACAGGATAGTCGTGGCCAGCGTCAGCCCCTACCTGCGAGCCATGTTCACGTGCGGTATGAGAGAGAGTTCACTGGCAGAGATAGAGTTGAAAGACATCGAGCCGCGGGCGATGGCGGCACTCATCGACTACGCCTACACGGGAGAGGTCATGGTGACTATTGACAACGTCCAGGACCTTCTCCCTGCCGCGGGGATACTCCAACTCCGAGAGCTAAAAGCCGCGTGCTGCGCCTTTCTTAGCGACCACATGGACACCACAAATTGCCTGGGAATCAAGCAGTTTGCCGACCTTCACTCGTGTCCGGAGCTACTCAAGAAAGCCAACCGGTTTATCATCCGAAAGTTTGTCGAAGTAGTAAAACATGAGGAATTCCTCCACCTCCCTCACGGCGTGCTCAAGGAACTTCTCTACAACGACCACTTGCACGTGGAGTCAGAAGAACAAGTTTTTCTCGCGTTTATTCGTTGGGTGAACCACGACCTCTCGAAACGAGCCACCAACGCCTACCAACTCTTCGAGGCGATACGTTTCAACCTCTTGGCAAAGACCTTCTGGGAGAACGTGTTTCTAAAAGAGCCACTGTTTCAGCAGAACGGAGAGTGCAAGGCGTTTATGAAGGGATACCTGTCGGGGATGAGTCCAGAGAGCTACGTCGTGAAGCCAAGATCTCCGATTGAGGCAATCTATACCGTGGGAGGGAGGAACAGCCATCGGTGTCTGCCGACTGGGGAGAGATACGTTGCCGAGGACAACCGGTGGGAGGAGCTTCCGCCAATGAAACAAGTCCGAACAGCCGTTGCGGTCGGTAAGTCTGAAATGAGGACACCTTTTTTCATCAAGAACAGTTCCCGAGAACAGCTCCTCACACAATTTCACGTCTGTAATAAGGACACCTCACTAATAAGGACACTTTCTTCTGTCCCATTGGTGTCTGGATTAGACCAGTTCCACTATACTCATAAATTTCTCTATACCTCTAGGGGCACTGGATGGTAAACTGTATGCAGTGGGAGGCGAGTGTGAGACGAAGTTTGCCCATGAAGGCACCCTCTACCTGTCGTCCGTGGAGTACTATGACCCCATCCACAACGAGTGGAGCAGCCTGCGTGAGATGAAACATCCCAGGTCGTTCACAGCCGTGGCAGTTATGGGGAGTAAGTCAATAGCAGCGTGCCAGGGCCAATGGAGGGTTGAATGACAGTGGAATGCAGCATGTTGTGACATAGTTCATTGGGATGGCATGTTTTGTGTACTAAACTGATATAATGAGGCTGCCTATTACAGCATTGCTACTGCCTTTAAACATTGCCATATTGCCTTTCCTTTCTCTCCCTATTTTCCCTCTCCCCTCTCCTCTTTATTTCCCTCTCACCCTCCTATATATATTCCAGAGAAATTATACGCCATAGGCGGAGAAACGACCGCACACACATACAAATCAGTCGAGGCCTACGACCCTCGGACGGGAATCTGGACTGCGGTGCCCGACATGCACATCGCTCGATCGGGAGCCGGGGCCTGTGCTATGAACGGGAAAATCTACGTGGTGGGCGGTCAAGATCGCGCCATCCACCACTCCACGATGGAGTGCTACGACCCGGTCGAAAACTGCTGGCACCTGTGCGCCAACATGAGGAACCCTCGTTCTGGCGTGGCGGCCGTGGTGCACAACCAGCACATCTATGCCATCGGAGGGAGGGACCGACACCGGCAGGCCTACTACGACATCGTCGAGCGGTATTTTCCAGATACAAACTCCTGGGAGAACTTCAGCAAGTAAGGTTGAATTACAGTATGTACTGAACCCTACGCATGTAGACCCTTCTCTGTTACGTATGTACCTTGTCTCATTTCTTGTTCTCTGTCTGTGTATGACTATTCACCCAAGCTCAGTTGCAAACCAACTTCATTAATTCCCGATTTTTTTGTGACACTTCCTAATGCCAAGCAAGTGTTTTCTATAAATCCCCACCCACAATAAAACACACTTTCTGTCCCCGGCCTGTTTCTCTCATCTACTTTCTCCCTATATCCCCACTCCTCTCCCTCCCTCCTCTAAGGTTGACCCATTCGCGAGCGTGGCCGTCTGCCTGCGTGTTCCAAGGTCAAATCTACGTAACTGGCGGTTACGACTGGCCAGCACAGACTGCGAACTGTCGAGAGATTCGACGCAAAGGATAAGAAATGGTCGCAGATTGCTGACATGAATGAATTCCGTGCTGGCTGTGGATCAGCCGTTCTGTAGAGACCTGATCTCCATATGTCCATACTTCACACCGACCTATAATACACTCATCATCACTGATCTTTACCCACTGTCATTAATGTGAACCACTGCTACATTTCTGCCTTTGCTGAATGTATTATGATCATAGTCGTCAGCGCCCAAGATTTATATTAGTCTCAAAAATCCATCAATAAAAATTTCTCGAAAAGACACGTGAAATTGGACTAATGAAGGGGGTGGAGTTTCTTGCGAGTGTCTGGTGGTAGGTCTGGATGCCATACATCCATACTCAGTACCAGTCCCGGACGGGGGGAATGGAACCAGAGCTCCTGCTCAAACGAGTCGTCAAACACCAGTGTTTCACCCTCCTTCAACACCCTATTATATATAGGAACAAGGAGAGAGAGAGAACTGGTCTGAAGAGACAAAGTTTTGGTATATAGGAGCAAATAAGTGGGTAAAAGAAGAAAGTTCGGAGTGATATAGAGAGAGAGATAAGGTGAAAGATCAATGCTAGTTTTCCTAATCCAAAAGTGTGCTGCTGACCTTTTCTCCTCTCCGAGGCGAATCACCAGCTCTCCCTCCCCAAGATTTAACCCCATCACCACCACCAGGCGAGTATTCGTCTGCCCGGTGTGTGGGGGAACATGGGAATTTGGGGGAACCACGAGGAATTTCGTCTCCCCGTGCCTGCAAGAGGTGGCCTCGGGGACCCTCTCCAGCAATGAACAAGTCAACGAAACTTTTCGGCAATTTTCTGCATTCTTCTTTCCCTGTGAGTACAGCGGAACACCCGGGGCGGAGTCTGTGCCCCGCCCAGTAGAGCCGGGATGACCTCACTAGTGGGGAAGGGGTTAAGAGTAAAGTCACATGACATCATGGGATCTCCAGCCCCGCCCACCTGGTGATGTTGGCAAAGTTATCGATGATTGGTTGGAGATGTGGGAGGTACCCAGTGTCGGGAAGCGTCCACCATGGATTAGTTCTCAGGTCGGGTTGGTTGAATATGGACCGCTGGTAGAGGGAGGGGAAGAGGTCGTGGGACACAGCCTCGCTGTAGAGGACTGGGCCTGTGGAAAACAGATGGAGGAGGGGGGAGCAATAGAAGAAATTGTCCAAACTCTATCTTTCTCAGAGGTTTTTGGACGAATAATCATCATAATTGGTGAGCAGAGTGAGGGCGTGATATTTCTTTGGTATGTACACGTTACTGTCCATACCATAATGCTTTACCTACTACTGTATGCTGAAATTTTCGCTCTTGTTCGCTCACTAGCAATGCTCTTTCTAGCTATAAGTATATGTAAAAGGTCAAAGAGAAGGCATGTGGAAAGGAAGAAAGAGAAGAAGAAAAATACCTCATCAGTTCTGTTGAGTCGACTCAGAGCCTCTCCAGCGTAGAGATAGAACCTGGCGTTCCTCTGGATACCGGGGTCGTTTCGCAACCCCTCCATCAGCAACGGCAGAGCCTTCTCGTATTCCCTGTCCTTAAACAACAGGTAACCCAGGTGTGCTTTGGCGTAGGCGTTCTCCGGAGCCTCAATCAAGAGTCTTTTTGAAGTGAGATTCGGCCTTTTTGTATTTGCCGGTCCTGACGTAGGCGGCCCCTAGTCTGTTTGCTACCACAGAGTCGTTGGTGTCTGAGATTGTAGAGTTTTTCAAGAGCCGATATGGCAGCTGCAATCTTGCCTCTCTCCTGACAGACGTCGGCCAGGCGAGCCAGTGCTGCCACCTGAGGAGAGAGATTCACAGACATACTGCACATCTGTCTGTAGGACACACTAATTATTAGGACACCCCCTTGTGCTGAAAAATTTTAAAGCATATTATCGTCAAATTTTGTGTAGGGCAAAATTTTGCTCCATAAAAGCATTATAATATAGTAGTATTAAAGGTGTTGTTACCATCCGAAAATTTACTTTACACTCAACTGCCAATCGGTGAAAATCATCCTATGTACGTACCTTGAGGTCTTCAGTGGCAAGAAAAGAGTTTGCCGTGTCCTGGTAGAACTCTATTGCCGTCTCTAGCAGCTTGTTGCTGATTTCTGAGCTGCCAGTCCAGCCAACGTCTCCCCCTTGCCAAACAACCCTCGCGGACTCTGAGGAACATCTTCAAAACTTCGTTGAACTTCTCGAGGGCCTCGCTGTATCTCTCCTCCAGCAGAAGATTGTCTCCATTCAGAATCTCGATGATGTAAGGTCTGTCGGCGTCGTCAATGGCAACGGGTCTTCGGAGTAGTCGCACGTCCTCCATGGCAACGGTGGGGACTCCGCGACGTTTCCTCTTGGAGTTTGCCGATTTTGCCTTCTTCTCGCTAGATGACTTCTTTCCACCACTGTTAGCACCTCCTCTTTTACTGTCCTTCTCCCCTACTTTTGTCGGTTTTTTGGATTTACTGGTTGAACCTGATTTACCGGTTGAACCTGATTTACCAGTTGCACTATTATCTGTGTTCCTCTTTCTGGTCGCTTCCTTCCTCTCCCCCTTTCTTTCCACCCCTCCCCCTCCTACCCCCACCTCACCGGCTGGTCTGTGGTAGATTCTGGTGAAATAGTAGACCAGCCCGAGAGCCAGGAGCAGCAACACGGCAACCACTATACTCCATCTGATGCAGCTGTAACACCGGTCTTGAGGTGGAGCCCTCTCTCTCTTCACCCTCCTCTCCCCTGAAATAATGGTTGCATGTGTAACCAAGTTCCTTCTCTCCCTCTCTTTCTTACGTCTCAGTGTGTCTTCTCTACTGGACGTGAGGGAGTGCGGCTGTTCCGCCGCCCCGTTCTCTGCTCCCGTCCTCTTACGAGCAGCCATCTCTCCTAGGAAACTCACACACCTCACACACGCCCGAAAACCGTAGCACACTCCCCGCAGCCCTGAGCTCGATCGAGCTGTTCCGGGATGACGTCATCGATGTGGGTGTGGTCTCGTAGCCGTAAAAGTGGGTGGAGCTGGTCAAGGTTCAAAGTTCTCAACTACCAAACAAAGACCTTACGCCCCTTAGCCGAGTCACGCGGTGGTTGGTTTAGAGCGGCCTCTGTGCTGCTAGGAGGAGATCGTGAAGGCGAGGTTCAGTAGAGAGCCAGAGAGCACGGGAGGAGAACTGAAGAATGGCTCGCTACAACGTCCGCGACTGCTGGATGGTGGAGGAGCTGAGAAAGGAGAGAGAGGCCAGCCAGCTCGACATCGAGGAGATCACCAATTTCATCAGCGGGAACGAGGTTCTCACCGCCCGCCGCAGGGAAATCTGTGAGCTGCGCCGCCGCAACACTCAGTACAGTATAATTATGCACCTAAGAGCTTTGAAAAGTACTCTGTGCACATAGTATACGAAGTAGTATGCGGGAGTTTACTAATTTTATGGCCGTGCGCGCGCATTATATGCATGCTCACGTGACTCCCAACTGCAGATGAGAGGGTTCTGAGTGATCCGGAATTTGCCCGAGACGACAGGTATTTCCACAGCAGAGAGGAGGCTTTTGACGAGGCAGCTCGTAAGGCAGTCCACAAGATCAAGCTGCTGAAGGAGATGGACATCGCCTCGCAGGTTGACAAGTACTACTTCAGAGGGTCAGTTGCATGAACACTGTATTTCAATGTGTGCGTTCTGTAGATGTTTTATTGAGTTTGTTATGTTTGAGCATCATTTTGTGTGAAATCTGTCAGTTTGATAAGTATTGTGCTACTTTAACTCTAGAAGTTCGAGAGTTACATAATGTTATGCAATTATTATTGCCGGTGATGTAATGATTAACTTTCTTCAGAGCTGTAGATGAAGAGCTCCCAACACAACTGAACGAGACTATGTTTATCCCTACCATTGAGGTATATACACAGCTACCATGGCTACCATTGAGGTATATAAGCTACCATGATTACCATTGCATCAGAATTGAGATTCAAAATCATTTTTGAAGCAATGTGTTGCAGAAAAATGTTCAATTTTTACAGTCACATAATCATTCAGAGGACTACTTGTACAAGTTAACCCTTATCTCTCCACATAGTCTCAGGGTACGGAGGAACAGAAGAAGAAATGGCTGGAGCCAGCCAGAGAATACAGAATCATGGGGGCCTATGCCCAGACTGAGCTAGGCCACGGTACAAGACATGCATTAAAGGGATTCTTTTGACTTACTGTGTGTCTGTCTGCAGGTACGTATCTCCGTGGGTTGGAAACCACGGCAACCTACCGCCCTGAGACGGAGGAATTTGTGATTCATTCTCCGACTCAGACCTCCATCAAATGGTGGCCTGGTGGACGTGAGTCTCTCCCTCTTTTGTCTTAAATCTTCCTCTGTTCACTGTAGTAGGTATCCACCCACTATAAATGCTTGTCAAGTGAATTCATAACAGCCACAAATATGTTTGTATTACATTTTGGGTATCAGCTGATTACACAAGGTGCTATGAATATCATTTCCTGCACGTGTCATTTCCCCAAAACAAAGGAAGTTGGAAATGAGCACTACACTACTCAAAACATGTGTCTGCGACCTGACATGCAGTACTGTTAAATTCACAGTTATCTTCCTTCTCTTTAGTTGGACATTCAAGTACGCATGCAGTGGTGCCAGCTCGTCTCGTAACACTCGGAAAAGACCACGGAATGCATCTCTTTATTGTGCAGCTCCGTAGCCTCGAAGACCACACCCCCTTACCAGGTTCATCGTTAACCCTTCACAAACACATTTTTCATTTGGACATTTTTTCCGGGCAGGTATAAATGTAGGGGATATTGGACCAAAATTTGGATATTTTGGGATGGACAACGGGTATTTGCAGCTGGATAATGTACGGATCCCTCGCGACCACATGCTCATGAAATACGCCCAGGTCAGTAAACTCTTGGATACTCGGTCTGTATATTCCAGTAGTCTGTTGTATTCTTCAGGTAGCTCCTGACGGGACGTATTCAAAGCCTCCAACTGATAAAATCACCTACGGTACAATGGTTCAGGTAAGTCAGTAATCTTTCAGGATACTCTAGTAAACTCCAGTAATCTGTCAGTAAACTCTAGTAATCTCTCAGGTGCGGACAGGCTTGGTTCTGTTCACGGCTCATGCTCTAGCAAGGGCCCTAGTAATCGGCGTGAGATACAGTGTAGTCAGAAGACAAGGAGAAATCGAACCTGGGTAAGCCTTTAACCCATTCCCCATCATCCCATTGTTACATTAAAACCCTTTCAGAGCCGGGGAGGTACAGGTAATGGACTATCAGACACAGCAGTTTAAGCTCCTCCCACTCCTGGCGTCGGCATATGCTCTGTCATCCACTGGGGTTGCCATGATGATGATGTTTATCCAGGGGAGTAATCTCTCTGTAATCTGTCAGTAATCTCTCGTGATAATTATGATGTTTGTCCAGGTCAGGGGTCAGATCGAGGAAGGAAACCTTGATTTACTGCCTGAAGTAAGGAATATCACAATTGAAAAATGGGTGCTTGTTTGTTAGCCACCTGTTTTCCTGGTTTCTAATCAAGGTGTGATAGTTACTTTTTCAATTGGTGGGTGTTGTGCAGTGTCCTTCACACCTTAAACCCACTGATACTAATGACCGCCGTTCTCCTCTCAGCTCCATGCTACCAGTGCAGGTCTCAAAGCCATTTCTGCCGAAATCTCCAACAACGGAATTGAGGTATACATCAGTAATTCTCAGTAAATATCTAGACTCTAGTAATCTACAAGTTTGTGTTAATCTACTGGTGTAAACTCTGGTAAACTACAGATTGTTAGTAATGTACAGGTGTATTGTTAGTAAATTCTAGTAATCTACAGGTGTGTCGGATGGCATGTGGTGGTCATGGTTACTCGCAGGCCAGCGGTTTACCTCATCTCTATGTCAACTATGTTCCAGCCAATACCTATGAGGGAGAAAATACTGTTCTATTCCTTCAGACTGCAAGGTTAATATAGTGCTACATTGAGTCAGTTGCTAGTAAGCAATGGGGCATCTGTGAGTATATACACTGTTGGAATTCGTGGCATGTCCAGTATTATATGAACAGTTCAGCAGTATTCTAAGTTATTCATATATAGCCTGGGCACACAAGTTGAGTAGTAGCCATGATGTAACTATACACACTCCAACCATGCCTTATTTTATCTTTCTCTATTCAGATACCTGAACAAGCTGTACTCCAGTGGTCAACCAATGTCAGCACTCCCTACCAACGTCTGTTACCTAGCAACAGACTACCCAGGCCACGCCTCCTGCGGGGTGCGATCGGTGAACCGACTATCAGACCCTCACCTTCAGTTGGAGGCGTTCCGTCAGCGAGCCCGGAGGATGGTGGGCGTGGCTAGCTCCGCCTACCAACGGGCTCTGGGGCGTGGCCTCACACAGCCTCAGGCGTGGAACTCCACCACCGTGGATTGGACTGTGGCCGCTAAGGTTTTTACCTTTTCAGTAATTTATTTCATTACTAAAAACCAAAAATTTGTGTGGTTTTATATTTTCACACACCTAACCTATAATTATAATTATTCTCTATTGTTTTAGGCTCACTGTTACTACTGTTGTCCTGAAGTCGTTCAATGATGCAATCGAGGCAAAGGGGCTGTCCCCAGCCAACGATGTCATAATGAGAAAACTGTGTTCGCTGTATGCCATGTACTGGATGGTGCAGAGCAGTGGAGAGTTTATGACTGTGAGTTTTACTCTTTACTGGAGATGTTTTCTTCTTTTTTGCTGGACAGACTCTGACTACTAACACAATGTGAAGTGGCTTACCATAGTTTAGAGTGTGGGCCTCCTTGTTTGTTTATGTGAGATTACTTCTACTGCAGTGGCTCCATTCACAAATTTTGATATTTCAATAGTTATATCTGCCATACTGGCTGCCCCAGATCACAGCTCATGGGGTCACCTTATGGCTTATGAATATTGTGGTCTGGCAGGGCTGACACACAATTAATACCATTCTTGGCTTATGAATATAATCAGCTTTGCACGTGTACTGCCTCGAACTAAACAAGCATCTAACTGCCTCGGAACAAAATAAACAAGCATCTCACTGCCTCGGAACAAAATAAACAAGCATCTCACTGCCTCGGAACAAAATAAACAAGCATCTCACAGCGCACGTTGTGGATGGGCAGACAAAAATGCCCTTTTAAATGGATTATGAATAATATATGTTGATATTGTTCTGTCTGGTGGTGTTTGCCATTACAGGATGGCTATATGACTCCCTACCATATCTCGCTGGCCCGCTCTCTCCTCTACTCCCTGTTAGCGGAGGTCAGGAAAGAGGCAGTTCCATTAGTCGACGCCTTTGACGTCCCAGACGAGATACTAAACTCCGCCCTCGGTCGCTATGACGGCGATGTGTACACTCACCTCTACCAGTGGGCCCAGAGAGCTCCTCGCAACAAGAAGAAGGTCAGGACTGGTGTGGCTTTGATTGAGTAATAATTACAGTTTCTTTCTACACTCAGGTCCATGATGTGTACCACAAGTACTTCAAGAAACTGCTCAAGCCTAAATTATGAACTGTACTATTGGTGCAGTGCCGAGTGCAGTGCTTTACAACCGGGAAATCCCCCTTTGAATTTAATAAGGCAAGATATGGGGGCACGCGGCGCTGTATCACCAGCAACAACGCGAGAATTGACGGTATATCACGCTAGGCGGCGCCGCGTAGGTGTATTTAATATTTATAGGCCGGGCCGCCGCCGGCGAGCGACTATAAAAGCTGAGCTGTGCGCGCACAGCTCATACCTACAGCGTGCGCTCGACGGGACCCGAAAGTCAAAAAATTAGCAAGCCACTGCGATTGCTACACCGTGCCGTAAGACATCTGAACCTTCCATCGGTGCTGCAGCGAGCGCTGTGCACGCTGGAGCTGTTGCTGGCGCAGATGTCGAGACGACGGGGGCAAGAACTGCACACGGAGACAATAGCTGGAGGCGCCCCGTCCGTCATGGTCAGTATTTGCTACACTCGCTAAGCTCGAAGAGCTAGCGGTCTGCATTCACGCGTGGGTAGCTAGCTACGTTCGTTTTGCAGGTAGTCGTAAGGCAGAGCGAGCCGCTGAGGCTTGAAGCTTGCAGTAACCGCAGTGTCTGCAACGCGGGAGGTGCGGATAGGCTCGGAGACGGCGAGAACTGGGAAGGACAGGACTTTTTGCAGAACCCCGAGCTGGTGAGCTACAATAAAAAAATTAATATGTGATGATGGGAAGATGTTTTGTAAACTTGCATACAATCACTGCAGATGAGCTGCAGTAGCGAGGAATGTGAAGAAGACAGTGGATGGCTGGTGGTTCCAGCTAGAGAAGAGAGTGGAGCTCTGTCAAGCCAACTGGTTACTGGATTTCACTTCACCTCTTCTCTGCCGGACTGAACTTTACTCACAGAGACTTTGTGTCGTTTGCCTTTGCTTTGACTTTGTTGTTCTGACACATGCATGCATGCAGTTGATTTGTTTTCCTTCACCTTGCTACCTAACTTCGTTGGTTGACACATGAACAAAATATTGTATCACATTATAAATTTTACATTTAGCTATGATGTCTGTGTGTGATTATGTTCATACATCCCATGTTGTTACATAAAACACTGCGCAGAATACATGTAAGCAGTTAAAGATCACACTCTATGGACTTGCTTGTATATTACAGTGGGTCCCACTTATATCGTACCATTTAATAGAATATCCCGTTTATTATCATACAAACCTGAAATCCAAAACCATTTCCTATGCTTTCCCATACATTTTACTCCGTTTTATAGAATACGGATAATGTCATATCCCGCCTATTACCGTAGAAAAATTGAGCAATTTAGCTTTTTGCCCTCGTATTGTCATTATGCGCATGCGTAATTATGCATTGGGCTGGAGGTTTTTGTAACCCTCTCCACCTGGCTTCTTACAGTTAGCTTATGTAAACAGCTTGGCTAAACAAACTGCACTGTGCACAGGCATACACAGTATACACAGTATACACACCCGCATTGTCATATTTTTTGGATGCACGTGGGTATGATATTAACCGGGACCCACTGTATAATACTCTCACAAAAATGGATCTTTCAACTGAATCGAGGAAATTAGGTATTATAATTAGTCTATCCTGTCATTAATGGTCATTTCCTGGAGCATTTCTTCCAGACCTACTCTTGGAACATCTTCACTGACATCACTGTCCCCGACTGCCACTGTCTGGTGTCCTGGATCTGTAGTGGGACAGTAATACTACTCTTAGTCCTCTGAATAACTTATGCTTATCATGCAATCATCTGACACTCAGGGAAGAGTTATGGTGGGATTCTCACAGTCTACACCATGAGTAACCTGAGCCCTCCTAGTCAGCACATTTATGGCATCAATCATATATACCCTTATCTGATTGTAATTCAAGAGCCGTGAATGTCATGGGCTTACACAAGCCTTGCTTAACAAAGCAAACTGTGGAGTAACACACTCACTGAAGAAGATGTTGACGTTCTTGCGGTAGATCGTGTCTTCCTCCAGGTCCTCCAGGAACTCCTCGTAGTCCTCCTCTGCCCCCTTCTCATTGGTCGTCGCCACGGTAACATCCATCTCCCGGTCCATCATCTGCAGCTGCCAGTTCCTCTGTTTCGACCTCTTGACCTTGTCTCCGTAGCTCTTCTTCACCAGGACCTGGGGTGTGGGGATAATGGTGGAAATCCAAGTGTATTAAATCTGGGCTCTTTCACAGCTAGCAACACATTTTTGGTGAAAGAGCTACAAAGGACAATAGAAAGGTGCTTGCCATTTGGATGGGGAAGGGGTGAGCTGGATGCCTTAAAACTACATGCAGGATTAACCAAGCAGCATAAGTTGATTAGGTATAGTTGTGCAGCCAGAACACTCCCGTTGCTAGTCAGTAAGGAAGTGGTGGGGAAGGGCAGTCTCAGAAACAGTAGTACTGTTTTGCGGAAAAAAGTTGCGAGTATTTATATATGTAGTTGCCACATCCTTATAAAAACAGTTGAGCAGAGGCATGAAAGCTCAGTTCCAGGTATTGTCAAATTATGGCAACCATCTTTTACAAACTCACCACATCAGGGATGTCTGCAGGGTTCATCTTATCCAGATTGGCATCATTCAGATTTGCCTGGGACAAGTCAAACCTACATACAAAAAATACATGTGGATGTCCACACCGCTGCATTCTCTCCTGCATTCTCTCCTGCATTCTCTCCTGCATTCTCTCCTGCATTCTCTCAGCATTCTCTCCTCATTCTCTCCTGCATTCTCTCAGCATTCTCTCCTCATTCTCTCCTGCATTCTCTCGGGCATTCTCTCAGCATTCTCTCCTCATTCTCTTCTAAGAGGAGAGAATGCAGTGGAGGACAATCACTGCAAAAACTGGTTGGTTTTGGCATTGGCCCTCAAGTGTAAACAGTTGTCATAGTAGAAGGCTATGGAGTGGTACTGGCCACTCCATATATAGAAGGTTGTCTAAATAAACACCGTAAAGAGAGCGAATCTAACAACACACACCCTTCTCATTCTGTTGTGTGAGAGAGGATCACAGATGCTACACACTGTATAGTTTCCTGTGAATTGCTGTGGTGTGTCGGTCCATAACTGCTGGTCTACCTCATCGGCAGTAGTCACGGTTCCTCCTCTGACTACATGCAAGGGTTCTCTGAATTTACTGCCATTGATGACGACTCACTTCACGTTTGGCTTGATATCTTCTGAGGCATTACACCCAGTGCAAACACTAGCACTCCTTCTTTCGTTCCCGCAAAAATATTTATAGTGTGGTAAAAAAAGCCGCTATCCCTCTCTCCCTCACCCCCACACGCAGTCTCCGTCATGGAGGAGATGTCCGAGATGAGACCTGCAGTGTATCTGTCTGTCACTAGTCCCCAGTTCACTCACTGGCACCACCCACACATCACTCAGGACACACTGTGGAGGGGGGAGCAATCAGAGGGTATAAATTGGACTATGAGAAGGGGCAGGGTTAGGGATTTATCTTACTAGCAAACTTATAGGGCGAGATAGGAATAGAGTTACGCAGCTGCAATAGCTATACCTTGTGACTGTGGTTGGCGGAGCTGTTGCCATGAGAACCAGGGGGTGTGGCCTTCTCGATGTGAAGAACGTAGAACTCGGTCAGTTGCTGATGGTTACAGAGACTAGAGAACGGAGTAGACACTGCTGGACAACTCCGCCACTGGAGGGAGAGAGACACATGCAGTGTTGGCAGTAGGCAACTTGGTAGATTTGCAAAAGAACACCAAAACCTGCTATAATTGCACACATTTGCAAGTAACTTATTTGAGCGTGCTGCACTCAAAAATAGACTACATTCTGAAACTACTTTTCAAAAGTCTTCTGGCAAGCAGGGGCCAATTAGCCCATTTAGCAGTTCCTTGGAGGTTGCAACATTCTTCTCATGCATGACCACAAAAGGGGGATGGGCAATCACATGTCTAATCGACTGTGCAGTATTGAGACCATGTGCCATTACCAACACAAGTATCACTTTGTATTGATCATGGAGGTCATATGTACCAGAGTCACCTCTTCTCTATACCTCACAAACTCACAGAGCCCGGAAGGTATGTGTTCACTATTATAGTCATTCCCGGGCACAACTAAAAGTCATGCCCGGGAATGACTATATTATAGTGAACACATACCTTCCGGGCTCTGTGAGTTTGTGAGGTGTAGAGAAGAGGTGACTCTGGTACATATGATCTCCATGACGTAATGGAATGCAATGGGAGATGTGTATGTATTAACACGGAATGTGCTTTTGTTGCCATTTGCAAAAAAAGGTATGCATGCAAAGGAATTGCTAGTCAATACAAATTACCGGGAAACGTATACAGTATACTGTACCACCGGCCTACCAGGTCCACGTGTCAAGAGCGAGAAGAGAGAGTATCTGATGATGAGTCTCCGATCAGCCATTCCCGACAAGGACATCCCACAGCACCTCCCCCCACCGTCGAGATAGCTCCATGGTGGTCCAGTGTCACCAACACTGTTCCCTCAGCTGCTTCTCCAGGACCATCTCCTGCCTCATGGCCGTGTACGACTGGAAGTTGAGCAGAGCTGACGATGGGGGGACATTGCAGACTATTGCTCAACATCACTGGCAACCATTATAGGCAAAACAAACAATGACATCGTTAACCACACAGTAGCTTCAAAACAATAAAGTGGTTAATAACCCACACAATGTAGGAAGCAGGAAACGGTACAACCCAACCTACTCACTTACATCCAGACACATTACATCTTCCATATCACTTTTCCTTGGTTTCTAAATCGTAATTTATGCCACTATGAGACACAAGTAGGAAGTGTACATAATTCATAGACCTCGACATATTCCTGTACTATTTATAGCACAAAACATTCATAGCACATTATGTAATGGCGTGCTATGTATATATACCTGTGAATTAGGTCTGATATTAACACTCAGGGCTGCATATTGTGGCCATTCTACTCGTACAGTATATTTATAAAATTGCACACATTTGCAAGAACTTATTTGCACTCACAAGCAGAAAACTCCTTTTCAAAAGTCTTCTGGCAAGCAGGGGCCAATTAGCCCATTTAGCAGTTCCTTGGAAGTTGCTGGTGCATTATGTAAACAATACTTAACATTCTTCTCATGACAACATTCATTATGTAAACAAAAGGATCGGCAATCACATGTCTAACAGACTGTGCACTATTTAGACCATGAGCCATTACCAACAAAAGTATCACTTGGTATTCCCATAAAGGATAGAATGCTTGGTTGATTCATTCGTCCTCAGGAATGGCTATATAGTCAACACATACCTTCGGGCTCTGTGAGTTTGTGAGGTGTAGAGAAGAGGTGACTCTGGTACATATGATCTCCATGACGTAATGGAATGCAATGGGAGATGTGTATGTATTAACACGGAATGTGCTTTTGTTGCCATTTGCAAAAAAGAAGGCATGCCTGTTCAGGCTCTACCTTGCAGCGACTGTGGGTGTAGAGAGGTGGTGACTCTGGTACATATGTATGACCTCCAGCAATTAGGGATGATTGGGAGATGATGGATAGTAAGGTTTTTGTAGGTCTTCCCTCCTATATTTGCTGAAACCCCAGTTCAGGCCACGGAAACTCTCATTTTCTGGCGCTCTGAGCCTGCCTCCATCGAGTCATCGTTAGAAGCGCTCCGCCATACGAACGAACAGGAAAGCCAGAGCGCTCAACGTGAAGCGCTCACTCTAAAATAGTTAGACGCTGATTCCTCGGTAACCACGCGCCGGTAGAAAGCCTCGTGCCCCGGGGGTAGCGCCCTCGCTGCACTCGGGTGCCACAATGCCGGGGCTCTCGGCTTTCTACTGCGCGTAGTTACCTCGAATCAGCGTCTAACTATTATGCAATTTTGGGAGATGTATGGATGGTAAGGTTTTTGTAGGTCTTCCCTCCTATATTTGTTGAAACCCCAGTTCAGGCCACGGAAACTCTACCTTGCAGGGACTGTGGGTCAGTGAGGTGTAGTGAGGTGGTGACTCTGGTACATATGACCACCTGTGTCATGTGACCTAGAGAGCGAGCCAGTGAGAGAGGGAGACACACCACCTCGTTCTGGAGAGAGGAGGAAACAACGCATGAGAAATCCGAAGTATACTAGAGGCCCTCTACTATACTTTTGGATTTAGACTTCTCATGCATTCTTTGATACTGTCAGTTTGGCTGATAAGTCTTGCCCTCTTAGGGCACCGACTTATCAGCCAAACTGACAATAATATTATGATGATACCTTACAGACGGGCACCAGCTCCACGCTGAAGGTGTGCTTGTATTGGAATGTATTGCTGTGAATGTCATGTGACACGAGCTCCTGGGACGTCTTATACCTGGGGACACAAAACACAGAGAAAGTACGCATGCAACTTGGCATTGGTAACCCAATATCCTCTCATCCTCTCCACCAAGAGGAAGGATATTTGGGTTACCCTGCCAACCAGAGAAAGTATGCATGCAACTCCCACTCGAATCCTACAATTCTCACTCACAATTGAAGGGACCAGGTTGATTGTAATCTGACCTGATAACTGAGACCACAACACACCTAATTTGAGGCGTCCACACTTGGGGCTTTTGGGGCTTAGATTTGTGCTTAGACTTGTGCTGTGTTTCATCAACACACAATAGGTGAGGGAGGGGGGGAGAGGAGAAAGAGGGAGGGAGGGGGGATGAGGGAGAAAGAGAATCCACACTCACTCACCGACATGGAACAACAGTCTGCAGAAAGTCCACCAGTTTCCTTGCCTCTTGTTTCTGAGCAAAGAAGAAGTAGAGACCCTCGCTCGTTTCTTTCACCTTGAGAGCCGACAGGTGCACCCTGTGCTTCAGTATCAGCTGCTCCAGATAGAGGACCATGAATAGCATATTTGTGGCTTCCGTTGCTACGGACGTTGCTATAACAAAATGTGGGGCGCGCGCGGATTTTCGTGACGTCACTAAATTTATACGTGCGCGCGTGCGCGTGAAGATACTCGGGCGCCCGGCCCGGGCGGGGGCGGCATGCACATGACGCAAATTCACCGTTTTGCGTAGGTGGCTCTTCTCTCGCGCAGCGTATAAAAGCGAGCTGCCCTCGATTATCTCAGGCTAGTAGTGCACACTGCTTCGATCGAAGGTATAAAAGAGAGGAAACCGACGGACAGATCACTATGGATCATTTCAGATTGTACGATATGAGCGAGCCACATAGCGACATAGGTGTGAGTCTTCGGGGACCGGCGACAGAAATGAGCGACCCACTGCGACCGCTACACCGTGCCGTAAGACAGCTAAACCTTTCATCGGTGCTGCAGCGAGCGCTGCGCACGCTGGGAGCTGTGGCTGGCGCAGATGTCGAGACGACGGGAGCAAGAACTGCACACGGAGACCGCAGCCGGAGGCGCTCCGTCCGTCATGGTCAGTATTACGCACACTCGGGCTCGCCACGCTCGGAGAGCTAGCAGCAAGCGTAGCTATACAATAATTCACTGCTGCTGCAGGTAGTCGTAAGGCAGAGCGAGCCGCTGACGCTCGAATCTTGCAGTGGCCGCAGTGTCTGCAACGCGGGAGGTGCGGATGGGCTCGGAGACGGGAGACGGCGAGAACTGCGAAGGACAGGACTTTTTGCAGAACCCCGAGCTGGTGAGCTACAATAAAATATGTGATGATGGGAAGATGTTTTGTAAACTTGCATGCAGGTGAGCTGCAGTAGCGAGGAATGTGAAGAAGACAGTGGATGGCTGGTGGTTCCAGCTAGAGAAGAGACTGGAGCTCTGTCAAGCCAACTGGTTACTGGATTTCACTTCACCTCTTCTCTGGCGGACTGAACTCAATATTCACACAGACTTTGTGTTGTTTGCCTTTGCTTTGACCTTGTTGTTGACACTGTAGTTGACTTGTTTGCCTTGCCTTCCCTTTCTACCTCATTACTAAGTAGTTGAGACATGCATGTAATTGATTTGTTTGCCCTTCGCCTTGCTACCTCACTTTGTTGACACATGCACAAAATATTGTACCACATTATAATTTCATTAGCTACGATGTTGTGTGTGATTATGTTTTATACATCCCAACGTTGTTACATAAACACACTGCGCAGATACAGGTAAGCAGTTAATACCACACTCTCATGGACTTGCTTGTATATACTCTCACAAAATGGATTTTCAACTGAATCGAGGACATTAGGTATTATATTAGTCTCTCCTGTCATTAATGGTCATTTCCTGGAGCATTTCCTCCAAACCTACTCTTGGAACATCTTCACTGACATCACTGTCCCCCACTGCCACTGTCTGATGTCCTGGATCTTAATAAAAATGAGTTGCTGAATACTCAGTCTTATGAAAGTCAAGCCAGACGAGGCAGCAAAATTCCCACACTAGCAAAATTCATGGGGGCCATGAATGTACTTCCCAATAGTGTGGCAAGCATTTGCCCACAAACACAATTCTACACAGCAATCAATTGGTCAAATAAAATTACAAAGTACATTCATGGTACTTCCCAATAGTGTGGCAAGCATTTGCCCACAAACACAATTCTACACAGCAATCAATTGGTCAAATAAAATTATTCATGGGGGCCATGAATGTACTTTGCAATGGAAGCATTGGGCGCAACCCTAGTGGTATAGGAGCACTTGTGATAGAGAGTAACACACTCACTGAAGAAGATCGTTGACGTCTCTTGCGGTAGATCGTGTCTTCTACAGGTCCTCCAGGAACTCTCGTAGTCCTCCTCTGCCCCTTCTCATGGTCGTCGTCGCCACTGGTTGGCTAACATCCATCTCCCACGGTCAATCATTTGCAGCTGCACAGGTTTCACTCTGTTCGACTCTTGACCTGGTCTCCGTGAGCATCTTCTTCACCAGACCTGGATGTGGGTGTATGGTGGAAATCCAGGATACGCAGTTAAAGTCAACGTCGGCAGTGCAGTGTAAATCTGGGCTCTAGCCACATTTTGGGCTACAAAGAGCTACATAGTATGCTTGCCATTGGGAGGGTAGTGTACTATAGTTATAGTGGGGTTGCTTTGGTTACTTAAGCGGCATGCCACGCAGCATGTGCCCAAAATGTGTTGGTGAACTCAGGCTCAGAAACAGTATATAGTATGTGGAGTATGTTGCGAGGAGCAGTTGGTGGGATTTAAAATATAGCTTCACAGCCTATTAAAACAGTCGAGCAGAGTCAGTCATACTCTGAAAGCTCAGTTCAGATAGGGAACACTTTTGTCCAATTATGGCACCATGCTTTTACAAACTCACACACTCCGGGATGTCGGCAGGGTCATCTTGTCCAGATAGCATCATTAGATTTGCCTGAGACAAGTCAAACCTACATACAAAAAATTATGTGGATGTTCCACTTTGTTGTTGTTGTGTGTGATGCATTCTATGCTACGATAGAAATTGGTTGGTTTTGATTGTGCCTCAGTGTATACTGTTGTCATTTAGGTCTTACGCTTTCTACTACAATCAAAGCTTTTTTGTACTGCCATTGTTAGTGATCTTAACACACGCTTCTTGTTCTTTGCGCGTGATGGCTACACACTGTATAGTTTCCTGTGAACAAGTGTGTTGTGTCTATCTACATGTATTTTGGGTATTGTACTACCAGTTGAAAGACTGAGCTCTTCTTTATTCCGTAAAAATTTATAGTGCGTTAAAAAAAGTATCCTTCTTCACCTCTCCCTCCCACGCAGGCAGTCTCATCATGAGGAGATGTAAGAGATGAGTGGCAGTGTGTTGTGTTTTTGTCACTATTCCCAGTTCACTCACTGTCACCACCCACACATCACTAAGACACACTGCGGAGGAGGAAGTCATAGATGGGGCAATACAATATTAGGAATTTTTTTTTAACACCTCTTATATTACTACTGGCATGAGATAATAGATGAAGGACAGTCAGGCAAAAAGCTCTACCTGGTCGTCTGTGGTTTGCAAGATTGTTGCCATGGGAACCGTGGGGTGTGGCTTCTCGATGTGAGGACGTAGAAACTCGGTCAGTTGCTTGGTTACGAGACTAGAGAACGGGTTCTCCGGTAGACTGATGGGCAATCGCAACTGGAGGGAGAGACACATGCAATGTTGACAGTAGACAACGTGGTACAAACCTTCTGCTATATTTATGTATTCATTTGTGTAGTGTG